GTTGATCGAACTCCCGTTGTACGACAAGAAATTTTCCGAAAAGCAAACGTGTACCAGTGTTCGTCTGAGGCACATCGAAGTGATGGGACGCATTGCGACATTTAGAGAAAGCAGCTGCACAGGCATGTCATTCTTCAGTCGATTGTCGATCTGACCAGAATCCTTTGCCATAGCTGACAAGGATCTCCTGTCCACGCCCGATACCCTTCGCTCTCTTTCCACTTTTGCCAGCGCTCAGCACGAAGACACCGACTCTCCTCTCCACCTTCCCGTTCCCAATATCCACAAATATGTCGCGGAATTCGGCGCTCGGTGCGGGGCAGACACCCCGGTAGTCGTTGATGAATCGCGCTTCGTTGCCCATCTTCGACGCATCTACGCCGATGCTTAGTTCGCGGTCGAGTGATAAGTCATAGTCGGATGCTTCGTCAGTGTCAGTCTGGTCGTGCACATAGCCCAAGTATGGCAGGATGAACGAGTCTGGTGGTAGATGCTGGTTAGCATATAGCGCATGCTGTCCATGTGCAGGATGTGTAGAGTCTGTCACTGCTGTGATCTTGACATTTGTGTATGGTCCTTTAGGCTTGTAAACCTGTGTATCGGGCGCTAGATTGGACTTTGGCAGTATGAGTGCACTAAGCTTGTCACCACCAAGCTTCTTCGAGTAGGAAGGTGCGTGGAGGTAGATGGTTTGCCCATCCCATCCCTTTGGCACTGCACCTGATGGTTTCGGCATTCTACTGTGCAAGTTGCTAGAACATGCACCGCTTGCTCCTACAGTCCATGCAGTCGATGCAACCAGAGTGGGATTGAGGATGTGAGCTTAACAAGTAAGCAAATCTTTGGCACCCCGCAAGAAAGGAATACAGATCCGGAAAATCTTGCGGTACAGATATCGAATCGCGCGGTGGTGTGTTCAAATCGTGGAGTCCTGGAGTTGGTGGTGAAGTCAAAGTCAGTCTTGCGTTATCGAGGGGCTCTCGAGTGGCCGGCGTCACTCCGGCACGACGGGCTAGAAGCGACAAGAACACCCATTTCCCTCACCGTAGCTTCCTCACTAATTTTACACTACGCCTCACCGTTTACCGACTCAAACATCCTCTAGCGATTACCCGGAAATAACAGCCATTTGTGGAATATGATAATGCGAACAAATTGGGATTCCTTCGTGTTGTGCGGCACGTCATTTGCTCTCCAGTAAAACACTCATGCCTAAGTAGGTGCCGCGCCTAATGCGTAACCTGAGACTACTATTGTGGCGCTCATTTAGTTCATGCGCTTCTCCTTGGGAATACTGGAGGCGAGATTGCGCTGTTACCATTTCGTCAACGAGTGCATACCTACGCGGTGGATGGCTCTCGTAAGACGAGCTCGGGTGTGACAAGAGCTGAGAAAGAGCTGGAAACTGATCAGCCTCCAAGACATCACAGAAACTTCGGCAGTAACTTTCCGCGACATCTTCGATGGCTGCCAATCCGCGCAACACTGGACGGGCTGTCGGCCCTTCGCTAGATCTAGTCCCAGGTCTAGATGCAAGGACAATGCAGGAACCCGCACGTCCCCGCTCCATCGTTGACCAACGACCTCGACACCAGCAGACCGCTCCAATTTGGCCCTTCTCCTATCAGCACTGGAAGCTATTTTTGCTCCGGCGCGGGGATTGCTCCAGATGTTGTCACGATTAGCCATCTCCACTGTGATCGATATTTCGATGCTGACTAGCAAGGAGCCCCTAATCATCGCTTTGTTCAGGTGTTCATTGTGACGGTCACAGTCAGTGGCTCTACACCTATCCCAATGCAAACTACACTTTGACGTGGTCGCGCGACCTTTCCTATGTTCCGAGCTGATATGCAGGTGCGGATCACTGACCGGAGATAGGTATCTACCGGGCGATTGAACATGTTCTGCGTGCACAAGTCGAACACTTGAAGCGGAAGCGGTTAGGACGACGGGCGATGTGTTGAGGCGGCAAGGCCCCCTTGGCAGGGGAAATTGTCAAGCTCATTTCGTTTCTGCGCGTCGTCTACCATTTCATTGGTCCGTTCGACATCCATCAATAAACAGCTCACAACGGCTCATGTCGAACCTTTCCATAGGTTCCCCTATCCCGTACTATCGTCAGGCACAGTCCACCAAACGGCGCCACCGGCACGCCAGAGCTTTCGCGATTCTGCCAAACGAGCGAAACTATGCCAAAGCGCCCCTGTTCATAGATGCTGGCTTTCTTGGTAAGGCCAGCTCGTGTATAGTTCTATATAATGTCTTCGCCAGCTGCTCCTCAGTTGATTCTCTACCACACACTCATTACACTCACTAATACACGGTTATCACCGATCACACTCGTTTTCAACGACCTCCAACGCCTTACAACTTAATACCTTCCGTATTTTAATACCACCCCCCAAACCAACAATCAAGATGCGTTCCTTCGCCGTCATTGCTGGCTTCGCCGCCGTTGCCCTTGCTGCTCCCCAGTACGAGGCTTACCCTGCTGCCCCTGCCTCTTCCTCGGCTGCCGCTGAGTACCCGGCCTACCCCGCCGAGACCTCTTCGGCCCCTGCCTACGAGGCTGCCTCCTCCGCTGCTGAGTACCCAGCCTACCCCGCTGAGACCTCCTCCGCTGGATACGAGGCTTCCAAGCCCGCCTACGAGGCCTCCAAGCCTGCCTACGAGGCCAGCTCCGCTGCCCCCGTCTACAGCGCCTCCAAGCCCGCTTACACCACCACCGAGGTTGTCCACGCCACCAGCTACGTCTGCCCTGAGCCCACCACCATCACCTACGGTGCCTCCACCTACACCATCTCCAGCAGCACCACCCTCAGCATCCCTGAGTACACTGCTACCTACGTCCACACCCCTACCCCCGAGATCCCGGCTGTCCCCATGCCCACTGTCTCCTCTGAGAAGCCTTCCGTCCCTGAGGCTTCCCACACTGCCCCTGGATACTCGGCTGCTCCTCCCGCTCCCATGTACCCCAGCTCCAACGGCACCGTTCCCCACGTCCCTGCCGGAACTGGCGCTCCCTACCCCACTGGCACTGGTGCCATGCCCACCTCCACCAAGCCTGCCACCCCTGAGTTCACTGGTGCCGCTGGCAAGGCCACCGTTGGCTTCTTCGCCATCGCTGGTGCCGTCGCTGCTTTCTTGTAAGCGGTTCGCTCTTGAGTGATCTGCCGGGATATGGTTCTCCATGTCTCTGCTAGTCTCTTCTCGAGTTTTGGAAAGAGGAGGAAATAAAACATGGCTTCACGGGTTACGACTTCAACTCTGCATCACGATTCAGTCTAGGATTGGGAGCGCGGTGTTGGCGGTACGGACTCTTGCTTCCTTGCGCAATAACAGTCGCAGCAGCATTTCGATGGTTAATATACTTGGTATTGTAATACGCCTTGGTTGGAATGCTTACTGGCCCTATGGAGGGAGTCGTGTGGTCCCGGTGGTCTTCTTGTTCCTAGATTCTTTGCCCTTTCTTGAGAAGAGTCGGCTACTTAATGACATGATTTCCACCTCTACTTCGATCTGACTATTCAATGTCTGATACCCTTGTTTGTACATATTTTGGCATGAATGGAGTTAAATCGACACTTTCTACACTTGACTTCCCTACTTTCCACCGTGCAGCTCTCGCAATCACTCCATACAGAAACCATGCATGCCATGTCGTCAAGCCCATATTTCTTGCTTTTCCATTACCCTGATGATGATCGTTCGTGAACAGGCGTTGGGTGCCCCTGAGACCCTGACCCAGGAAATTGCACTGGCCGCCTTACCCTGCAGCACGGCATCTGGCCCCAACCCATTCATCCGTTTTTGGCGACACATTCATCCGGCGAACGCCAAAACGCGTCACCCTTTCCCCAGCCATAATAAACAATCGGCAGCTCGGCCCTGGCATTTTTGTTCTTACGTACATTCCCTCATTTACAGAAGCTGGGTGGGTGCGCCAATATTGCTTCTGTCTTGGGAAGAGAGGTCTGACGTACAGCTCACACGATTCACGTGATTCACGCTAATACGTTTTCGGACGCGACGCGACTCAAGCTACGTGACAGGAACGATCGCGATTATCTAGGATAACCCTCCTTCACGACAAGGGCCTGCTGCAGTCTGCAAAACTGCCAGCTTACTTAGGCAGGTCAATATTGCACAAGCGCGCATTTGCGCGCGCCTCCCCTTGTCAGCCTAGGTCCTACCAATGAAGTCGGACTCTTGTCCTCTAATCATCATGGCCTCACCTGAGCAATCTGTTCAATATTCTCTTTCTCGAGCAGACCGTACCTAGGTATTCTTAGCGCGCATATACCGCAAATGCCGACCTCTAGATGCTCATCTAGATCGTCAACTTCTTTACCAATGTCTGCCACGGTTGAGATGTTCAGCGTCTAATCGAACTTTACCTCTACGTGTGACAGAATCTTGATTGACGATATCCTAGACAGTGAGATGATATATAGGGCATCGTGAACAACGAGCTCCTTGATGATGAGCAAGAACTTCAGGAAGCTTAGCTTAACGCCCTGAATTCGAAGACAGAGGAGGAACCTAGGCAGCTTCTAGAAGATCAGGGCCTACATGGCGATAGTGAGAGAATCGCTTTGTTGGAGCGTCTGGTAGGAAATGACGACTCCGTTGAAGACTAGCCTGCCGACTCGCCACTTGGTCTAGACCCAGAAAATTTCAGTCTCCGACCAGTAAGGAACTTGAGGAATTTGGAGACGGCGCTTGCGGATGCTTCGAGGCCTCAATATTGTACATACCGTGTGTGTGATAACGTTGTCTAGTCAATGTCTTTTCTTCGCAAATCATTCAGGCATATCCGGTAGTGGTCTTTGTCTCATGTCATGGGCTGTTTAGACCTTTGGTATTGATTTACATGTTTTAGGAAAATCTCCTGTCAGCCTCTGGATGCATCCAGACTATTACCCCTCTACCAGGTAAAGCCTTCGCGAGAAAAGCACTTCCCCATATCAGGTATTGTTAAATGTTTTCGTAGATATCTACCATTCCCTCTCCTCGATAGGCACTTCTCCCGTTTCCTGCCAGTAACTTATCGCATCATCGTAGGCTTTACGGTAAGTCTTCCGTCGCTCCTCCATTGACGGACGGTTCGGATGGCTCTCATCGAACTCCTTCTCTAACCTGCGGAACTCTGCATTTGGTGGGAAGATATGGTCTCCTTCCGCTGGCTGAATATAAAATACTCGCAGGTCTTTATCAACACGATTATCCTCACTAAAGCGTATCATGGCGTCCAGATCTCGGCACTGACGGTTATAAGTGAGCTCAGGATCCGCCGTAGGCTCCCCTTCGACCCAGATGTAATTCATGACATCGTACTCGACGTGGCACGTCAGATGATCTAGCAAAGCGTGGAGACAGTGCTTCGTGTGGATCCAATCCATTGTGTCGTTTGGATAACCATAATGCTCACGATAGAGCCGTTTTCGGATGTGGTCTAGGCAGTGGATATTATGCGTATGTGCGAATCGGGTGATGAACGTTTTGTCGCCATAGCCGAAGTCTTTGGGAACGCTGATATAGCGATCCGGGTCTTTTCCGAGGATGCGCAAGTCGTCCTCTGTTATCAGGAATGGATATCCCGTGGTCAGCGCATGCCATGCTGCATCGACTTCTGGGCTAGGCGATTGCTGCCAGATGACACCATTACTTTCTGCAAAGAGGGCAATGTTTGTGTGATTGAAGTGTGTGCTTCGATTGATGTTCTTTAAGAACGATGGCTCTAATGTCATGCTGTGTTAGCAATGAGTTTAGCGACAGGAAGATGACGTACCAGATAGAGCTTGTTCTATTCGTGAATATTGGAATATTAAGCCAAAAACGAAGAACACTGCAGCCACCACAGCGTACTTCAAGAAGGAGCAAAGCAGCTGGAGAGACAGGACAGGTTTGCTGCGAACTCCACCGTGTGGAACCCCTGATGGCAACAGGTCTTCTGACTCCTCAGCGTCTTCGTTTTGAGGTAGCTTACGCCACGAGTGATCCATGGTGTATAGCACACAATGGCTCAGTAGGAGAAACTTGTTACGTCCGATACTTTTTGCATAGGTACAAAGTCATCGAAAGCCCATCAAACTTGCTGCACGTTGTTGGGATCAACTACGACGATGAATTCCATAACAAGACGCTTACGAATTACCTCATCGCAGGACGGAACCTTCGGAACTTCGTCACTGAGGGGTAGATGTATGTGTCATTACAAAGCTGCATGCGTTTGGGGCAGAATAAGCTATTCCACCAGGTGCGTACGGCCTTGCTCCGGTACATCTGCGGGCCGGCCCTGTCGGGCGCTATCACTGTAGACCTTCAATATCGAAAGCTTAATAGAAAGGCTGCGCGCTTTTCGGTCAAATTCTGCTGCTCGATCAAGATGATGTCAGCTGAAGTCAGCTAAAAGACGTTCCACCGAAGATAAGAGTCTCCACCTTGCAGCCAAACAATGATACTATGCACTGTTCGATTACACACGCGTATATTTCTGCTCTACAAACCATACCATTCCTCACTGCTCAAGTCTATAAGCTAGGAAAAGAGGTGTGAGGCCGCATCAATCGAATGAGGAGCCAAAGTAGGTACTCTACTACAAATCTACCCTAAAACCCACCTTACACCATACAGTACATCTCACACATATACAAACCCGATGTTTCGCCGCTTCTTTGCTTTCTTCAGATCGTCGAGCATGGGTGTAGAAGCCGGACCCGCAGAGGAGCGAGTCGGGCTTACTTCATTATCCACAAAATACAACAACGACGATCTCAAGCCGCGAAGGAACCTCATCTTACGAGTAGCTATCGCCGTTCTTGTTACCATTCTGGCTGTTTATGGAGCTTACGCGGCCGGATCCCAAACTCTCGCAACACTAATGCGAGATGATGCCTCATGCGTGTGCGGCGTTACAACTGCCGAAGGAATCTCGCAGAACTGCAAGTTCGACGAGATCGAGCTGTGCTGGTTGAGACCGGAATGTATCGATTTCGAGCTCACTCATGAGTTCATCACAGCTTCTCGTTCCGACCCGGGGGGTGTTTGGCTATACCAAACGGAGCTGGATGGCAAACAGCGCCTGATCAACGGAACCGAGCTATCAATGCTTATTGAGCCCGGGAGAACCATATGGTTCACCTACGAGCAGCATGTTGCGCACTGCGTCTTTGCGTGGAGAAAGCAGTTCCGGCAGCAGTTCACAGGCATTGTGATGCCTACAACGGCATCAGACGAGGGACATATCAGACATTGTGGTGAAATGTTCATGCTCAACGCTAGCTTGGAGGAGAGACGTACGAAGCTGGTGTACCCTTCTGAAGTGTAATTAGGCTAGCTGAAGCTTTAGTCAAAGAGGGATTAGCGCTCACGAAATGTATGCGGCATCGTCCCGTCCCCGATGACGGACCGTTCTCAAAGCATCCAGTTTGGCCACGCTTAATTAGGACGTACCTCCGCAGAACCCATTGAGCAAGCGAGATAGTCTTTTGAGAAGCAACGTGGACGATCGTGGATCGCAAGCGTGAGAAGAGATGAGTGGCGAAGAGCTGGATACGTACGTAACTATCAGGACGCGGCTCGGCCAACCGTTGCCAAGCTACCGAGCAAGTACACAGTACAAGTACGGTAATTCAGAGTGGAGGGTACATTCTGACGGCAGTTCGTTAAACTTTCGAGACATGCGTTCCTATTCGTTCAGCTCTGCCGTACAGTCATACGTCCTGTAGGCCGCGTGTACTTTGCAGAAGTCAAACTCATGTACCGGAGATGACCGAGCGTTGGTACGAAATTCGTAACTAGAATGGGTTTACATGACCAGAAGAGCATTAGACCATCTTCATCTTTACGAGCAGAGAGACGTACAAATAGCTGCTCAGAAACGCACGTAGATATTCGTCTCTTGCTACACGAACACAGTTGAATCGTGTGAAGACAAACCCACAAATCAAATCTTACCTTCTTATCCGTACGCAAAGCCCGAGATGCAAAAGAGCTTCTTCCTCCTCATCACTCTGGTTGGCTTATCGGTAGCAACCGCTTCTCGTAGGTTTTCTTTCAGCCCCATGATACCTAGGACAACAACCGTACTAATTGTTGAAGCTGATGCAGAAGAACCTAAGAGCTTGAAGAAGCGTGCCACCTACATTGATTTGTTTAAAGATGAGGGGCCGGCTCCGGCGCCGGAAGAGGATGTAGAAGAGTATAAGGAGAAGAAGCGTGCCACCTACATCGATTTGTTCAAGGATGAAGGGCCAGCTCCTGCACCAGAAGAAGAGGAAGGTGAGACGAAAGAAAAGAAGCGCGCAACATACATCGATTTGTTCAAAGATGAGGGGCCCGCACCCGCGCCGGAAGAAGAGGGCGAGATGAAGGAGAAGAAGCGTGCCACCTATATTGACTTATTCAAAGACGAGGGGCCTGCACCCGCTCCTGAAGAGGAAGCCGAGAGTAAGAAATGATCGGGCCGTTCGATTAGTAGAAGAGGATATCGAGGACAAGGGCGGTGTTGGCGAGAGGCATATAAAAGGATATGAATGAATGTCAGACTTACTGTTTTCGCATTGGACTTTCCACTGTGCTCGCACTCGCTACAATCATGCAACACCGCCTACTCATGACATGCATTCTTGGTGTGATTGTAGCGTATGGAGTCTCGATCGCGTATTCAAGAATTCATACTCCATTACATCCTCTTGAGCGTTCTATTGCTGATGCCGAGGACCTCTTCCAGTCTTTGATGGCCCAAGAAACACACACATACACACAAGCGGTAGAATCATACCAACAACGGCGAGGGAGATGTCCACCACCAGGCTTTCGAGTCTTTTACGAGCGCCTTCAACAGTCAGGAGGTATCTCGATCGAGCCATTCTGGGATCAAATCTATGACGACTTGGAGCCATTCTGGGGCATCCCAGCACAGACCACACAGAGTGCTGTGGCTTCACTTGTCTCTCTCGCCAGATCTCAGAAGCCTATCGAACGACTTCAGGGATTCTCTTTTCGACACGGAGAAGTTCGAGCTAACTGCCCGAAAGAGGACATGACTTGCGATGATCAACTGAGCTTGCTGAGGAGAATCGCCCCACTGCTGCCAGATATTGACGTGGCGGTAAGTGTGCATGCCTCACCTCGTGTGCTCGTTCCTTGGTCTGTGATGGAGCAAGCCCGACAGCAGGCACGCCAGCATAGCCTATTAGTGTCACGCTCAGCAGGCGCCCAGATCCATGTTCACGGCGGCGTCAACAGGGCTCGTCATGCTGGAGAGGAAGATGTCGTGAAAGGATGGAATCGAGGTAAGCTGCAGTATGACCATGTGCGAAGCTTCTCCGGTTGACGTCTGGACTACGCGCAGATATCCCTCCGTACCTTTTCCGCGGCATTGTCTGCCCCCCACAAAACGCATCGTCCGATCAAGTACGACCTGCGAATTCTGCCGTTCAGGATGTGTGCGCTCAACCAGAGTTGGCCGGTAGCCACGGCACGATGTTGGCGCCTCACATGGTGTCGACATCATCTACCCTTCTACCCATTTTCTCCTCAACGCACATACGACACGTGAGCGCTGAAATAACAGTCCCTGACTTATGGACGTGGGTGGATGATCCCAGTTTCAGTCTTCCTGAACACTTGATCAACTCATCTGTGGGTGTGGCGTGGTCAGAGAAGCACAACAAGGCCATCTGGCGGGGCTCTAACACTGGGGGCAGGCATAATTCCTTGACCTGGATGAGATCTCATCGCCATCGTTTTGTAGCGCTAATGAATTCCACTTTTCTTGAGGCTATCAGCAGTGGTCAAATCGACTGGACGAATGCTTCTCTCGGGAACCTAGCAACACTCGAACCGCCACACGCTAAATGGATGAACGAGCATTTGGACTGTGCCTTCACACAGCTGCGGTGTGCTGAGCGAGGTTGGGACGTAGGAGATTCCTGCAGCTACCTCGATCATCACTTTCGAACTGCAGCGCATACATCTATGGCTGATATGGCCACGTACAAGTACTTGCCAGATATTGATGGTAACGCGTACAGCGGTAAGTCCTTTTGCTCTCGTGGATGATATTCACTGTATAACATCAGTCACAGCTCGTTTCCGCGCATTGCTCATGACGGGCTCCGTGGTGTTGAAGGGCACTATTTTCGACGAATGGCACCGATCGCGGCTTGTACCGTACAAACATTTTGTTCCCTTTGATCTCGGCAGTCTTCCCGATCTTTGGCACAAACTCTGCTTCTTTATCGGCGGATGTTGTCGAGGAGACGGTTGTGAAAATCACGAGAGGCACGCTGAAGCAATTGGTGTAGGCGCAGCCATCTGGAGCCGCAGAGTCCTCCGTAAGGCAGACATGGAGTTATACTGGTTACGGCTGTTATTAGAGTATGCGAGAGTAGTGGATGAAAGAAGGCACGTGTTATGCGAGCGGAGCGATGTGTAAGTAGTCTTTCTGAGAAAAGGGTTCGAGCGACGTGTAGGGTGAATCCTTACGTACGTCGGAACGGGCATTGGCTGTAGTCACTTATCGATTAGACTTCGGGACGGATAAATGATGTTGCGATCCTGCGACTAAGTCTAACGGTGTACCTAGGTAACCGAGGTTGTTGGCTCTAACGCTTCACATCGACCCCCTTCTCAGGATCATTAATACTGAATAGGAAGCCCACGTTAGAGCAACGGGCCGTTTTCTTTATTCCTTGCCTGGTAAGCAGAGTTGAGCGGGATGTTGAAAACAATTATCGGATCCGCATGACAAACAACCTTGGAAAGATCGTCTTGGAGACGGGCCGAACGGCGTTGGGCGGAAGTGGTAGAGGGCGACGATGGGGTACAGGGGCTGACAACATCCGGAGTACATGGTTGATTACTCCGCAACGCGGTGAGATGTACACCATGGAGATACGGATATGTGCAGTCATCATGGGGCTTTCGATAAGCGGTTTTTAAGCTAGAACTTATGTAAGAAGATTTGCACAGCATTCTTCTCTTGACGACATCGTGCTTGCTCCCCGTATCTTGATTACCTAGCCCTGGAGGTATCATGAAGAGCCTGTTGATACTAGCAGCCTTTTCTGTCTTTACTCGAGCTCGGAAACAACATGACAACATCGGCTATGTCGACAAATACCACGGCGAGGACTGGTATGACTGCGGTCCTTATGGAGGTGAGCATTCTTCTCTATTGACACAGCCTGGAATACAGTTGTTAACGTTTTGTCAAGGCTGGGGCTGTGCCCAATCCATGACAGACAGCGAGCCGCCACCGAAAATGCATTACCACAAGAACAGCACTTTCAAACAATTGATAGATCACAACAACCCTAGTCTCGGGACTTTTGATCAATTTTACTACTACGACACGACGTACTGGAGGGGCCCTGGCTCGCCAGTGATCTTTTTCTCGCCTGGAGAAGTTAATGTCTCTATGTACTACAGCTTTTTAACCAAAAGTGGCTCTCCGGGAGTCCTGGCTGAGCAGATTGGAGCAGCTACCATTCTTCTCGAACACCGGTACTGGGGTACTAGCACACCTTTTTCCAATCTCAGCACCGAAAATATGAAGTACCTTACTTTTGAGAACAGCATGAAGGATGTAACGTATTTCGCACGTGAAGTTCAACTGCCTTTTGCTACCCATGAGAACGCTAGCAGCAACGCTAAAGATGTTCCATGGATAGGTATAGGCGGCAGCTACTTTGGTGCACTGTTAGCATGGATTGCAAACCTCGACCCAGGCACTATATGGGCCTACTACGCCTCAAGTGCATCAGTTCAAGCTGTTGACGACTATTCGGCCTACTTCCTCCCTACACAAGAGGGCATGCCGAAGAACTGTAGTAAAGACATCTCTCTTGTTATCGACCACATGGATAGCATCCTGACCACTGGCTCTCGGGACGAGCAATACGCACTCAAGGCTAGGTTTAGCATGCAAGATGTCGCTCATAATGACGACTTCATGGCTGCTCTGGCGCATGGGCCTTATCTCTGGCTGGGTAATCAGTTTTCCTACAACACAGGCTTCTTCACTTTTTGCGACTACATTGAAAACGCCGTAAACGCCACCCCCACCAACCTTCCATCCGAAGCTGGTGTTGGTCTCGACAAAGCGCTCGAAGGATACGCGAAATGGTGGAAAGAGACCAGACTCCCGAATCACTGCGCCTCATATGAGTACCCTGATTTCAACACTACGGACAATACTGGTTGCTTCAACACCTACAACGCGAGCTCCCCGCTCTTCACTGATACGACACTGGGCAATGCCATGAGCCGTCAATGGGTCTGGATGACCTGCAACGAACCTTTTGGAAACTGGAAAGTTGGCGCTCCCACAGGACGTCCGTCGCTCATTTCCCGCCTTATAACAACGGACTACTGGGTCCGCCAATGCGGACTATACTTCCCTCCTGGACCGAATGGCGAAACATACGGCATCTCAGCAGGGAGAACCGCAGAGCAAGTTAATGCGTACTTGGGAGGTTGGAACATCACCAATACAAGCCGACTCATCTATGTAAATGGCGAGTACGACCCATGGCGAGAAATCAGCGTTTCAGCGAAAGGGAGGCCTGGAGGTCCGCTGCAGAGCACTGAGCAGGTTCCTGTCGAGGTCGTTCCTGGTGGTGGTCATGTGACTGATTTAAGCACTAAGAATGGGAAAGTGAATGCTGGGGTGAAAGAGGTGCAGGACCGAGTACTGAAGCAATTGGTCGATTGGGTCAAAGAATGGCCTGAGGAGAATTGAGTCGGGAGGACTACCAAAAGTGATAGGATGTGTTGTCGCTGGTGTTCATTATGGAAGTTGTGCTCCTCGAGCGAGTGTACACATGCAGTAGATTTGAGTCTCCCACACTAAGCTAAGATTGGATGAGGCCCACATACCATGGCACTAGCCAGTCTTGGTAGTATCATGTGACGGGCCTCGGCAGTGCTAGGACTATGTAGTCACTTGAAGCTCGAGAGCATGCACCAGTATGAGCAGCAGGAGTACATTACGAAGGAGCCTGTTTCCTGTAACCCGTACCCTGAGCACTCTTTCTCACTCTAAAGCTATACACTGTCAACGTCCCGTTGGATTTCTAACGTGATACATTACGTATGCCTTGAAGGTATGTTCTAGTTCGGTACGTAACAGAAGAAGCGAGCTCCCTCACAGTGATGAGACCACAGAGCAATCAAGATCGGTTGTATGCGACATGGAGGTTGTGCTCTATCGCAGCCTGATGTTCGCAACAGTCATGTCTTGGCAGTACTCGCCGAGGGGCTCGACGCGTCTAGGCTACTACTCAACTACCACGTAAAGTTATTGTAAAAAAGCATTATAACGATGCCAATATTAGGCAAGGTCTGATGCATTCGTAACAGGTCTTCGTGACAGACGCGGTATCCTTCATGGGGCTCTTTGTTGCTGCAATGTTTGAGGTACTGGCGGTGCACGCTAGTTTTGGTGGCTGAAAGGTATAAAGGTAGCCGCCCCTCGCTCCAAAATATGGTAAACGAGCCGCGACGCCTACGTCAACCCCAGTCGCGCGACACAACCACCCACGACAGCAATATCACCTCCAACCCCAATCCAGCGCGTACTGCCAAAGATTGCCCACGTCATTGCAGGCGCCTAGCTCGAGCTCGTTCCCTTGCATCGCCGCGCAAGTCCCGAATGCGCCAACTCCAAGCACAACGCGCCCACCATCAACACCACCACGTCGCCAGTCGCATGGGCTGCCTCCACTCGGAATGAAGGTCCTTTCACCCCGAGATTTGAACTATCCCGTCACCGTCGTCGATCTCCTCAAGAAGCGCGATGAAGATGTCCAGCGGTCTGGGAAGCTGTTCAACTACAGCTATGACAGTCGCGTCACCGAGGGCGACAAGTGGGGAGGCGAGAAGACGGTCATGAAGAAGTTCAGGCAGACGTTTGCTGCGAGCACCGAGGGAAAGATCACGCGATGGTTCATCAAGCCGGGCACTATCATTGAGAGACATGGGTAAGCCCATCCAGCGCGCGCCTGCTGCAGGCGCGACATGCTGACACCCCTCCAGAACACCACTTCTTGAAATTGAAGAGCCCTGCACTCACGAAACACAATTCGGTGGCCTCTGCGTCGACTGTGGCAAAGACATGACGCAAGTTGACTATCTCACCAAGGAGCTCGGCACGGGACGCGCGACGGTGAACATGGCGCACGACAACACTGCGCTCCTCGTCAGCCACAAAGAGGCGGTAGCTGCGGAGGAAGACGCGAAGAAGCGACTCTTGAGCGCGCGAAAGCTGACCTTGATTGTTGACTTGGACCAGACCGTCATCCACACTACGTGCGAGCGCACCATTGCCGAGTGGAAGAACGACCCCGAGAACCCAAACCACGACGCCGTCAAAGACGTGGAGGGATTCCAATTGGCCGACGACAATGTTTCCAATGTGGCCGCAAACTGGTACTATGTCAAGATGCGCCCAGGTCTCAAGGACTTCTTCGATCGCGTCTCAAAGCTCTATGAGATGCACGTCTATACCATGGCCACCCGAGCCTATGCGCAAGCTGTCGCAAAGATCATCGATCCCGAGCGCAAATACTTTGGCGACCGCATCCTCAGTCGCGACGAAAACTACACCGACAAGCTGAAGAGTCTGACGCGGCTCTTCTACCAGAACACAGCAATGTGTGTCATCATTGACGACAGAGCAGACGTCTGGCAATACAGCCCCCACCTCGTCCGCGTACCCGTATTCAACTTCTTCCCCGGTGCTGGCGACATCAACGCGAGCTTTTTGCCTAAGCAGCAAGAGCTGGTTACATTCGCAAAAGACAAATCACCCCCGACGCCCAAAAAGGCTACAGCTGAAGCTGCGCCTGCGAACATTGCGTCTGTGGCAGGCAAACCGCTGGAAACAACCCCAATCGACGCTGCGAATGGCGATCTGAATGAGTTAGGACAGCAACTTATATCCTTGGCCGCAACCGAAGACCTGGAGGAGCAGGCCAAGGAGCAAGAAAAGCTCATCATTGCGCAACAAACCGAGCGGCCTCTGTTACAGCAACAGCTCATGCAAGATAAAGAGGATGAAGAGGCGGACGATACTGAGTCGGTCATCGAGGACTCCCGGCAGATCGAGCATCCCAAGGCACGACATAGTATCCTCAACAATGACGATAGAGGACTTGATGTCATTGAACAGAACCTCAACCTTGTTCACCGCACATTCTACGACGAGTACAGGAAAGCCAGAGGAAAGGCGCCTGCAGATGGTCGCGTCGCCGCATTGAAAGGCGAAAAGAGCCCCAAGAAACGCTCTATGGAAGACTTCATCCCCGACGTTGCCGAGATAATGCCTCGGATCAAGAACGAGGTGCTCGACGGTGCCGTGGTCGTCTTCTCTGGCATCATACCGCTTGGTGTAGACGTCCTCACGTAAGTTCCCCACTTCAAAATACCCTTGAGCAGAGCTGACCCGTCTCAGATCCGATTCCGCCCTCTGGATCTCCTCCTTCGGTGCTGAAGTAACGTTGAATGTAACCCGCCGCACCACACACGTCATCGCCAATCCTGACCGCAAGACCACAAAAGTAAAGCGCGCAGCCCGGTATCCCCACATAAAGATTGTCAATCCGGAATGGATGTTCCAGTGCTGTACCCGATGGGAGCATGTAGACGAGACGCCTTATATCATCGAGACAGAAGCAGCGGGGTCACCCGTCGCTGACCTCGAGGACGAGAGTATTGATGGTACGGGTGATGAAGCACCAGACGATGTACCACACTCACCAATTGTCGAAATGTCAAATGACGACTGGGCGCAACTAGACGATGAATTGGCTGATTTCATGAACGCGACAGATTCAGAGGCCAGCGAGTCAGATACTGATAGCGTCCGGTCAGAAAACAGCACCGCCTCTACAGGAACCGAGTCGAGACAGAATGGCGGAAAGAAGAAGCGGAAACGCACTAGCACCAACTCGACGGAAGGAAGTGAAGCCGAAAACGATGGGGAGAGCGATAGGAGCGATAGCAGTGTCAACAGCACGACGTCGCGGCTGCAACGGCGGAAGAAGAGGACGATGGAGAGGGTGACTAGTCTGACCAACGTCGTTCTTGCAGAGAGCAAGTCATCCGGGTTACCTAGTCCGGAGACGACGGGGCCGGAGGAGGATGTGGGAGATGAGGCAAATGATGCGGAGGAGAAGATAAATGGGGTCGAAGGCATGGATGGTACGGCGCCAGATCTCCAAGACGACTATGATGATGGTCTTGAAGCGGAGCTCTTGGCTGGTTTTGGGGACAGCGACGAGGAGTAGGACTTCTGTTACCGAAGGACTTTGTATGAGGCATGCATAGCGAGGTGTTTGGCTGTCTGGCGTTTTTTACAACATGACTGGCATTCTTGGGAATATTCTGCCTTTTGAAGGCGTGGGACATGGTTTGGGTCAAGATCAGATTATCACAAGGGAGCGAAGCTCCTATGAAATGGAAGGCTTGATACCCTTTTTCATTATTGTTTGTGTGATGCAGTGTATGAGGCTGTTTGAGCATTCAGGATTAGCAGTATGATTGAGCGTTGTTGCCTGGCTGTGCTGGCGACAGGTAGCCAAATGGACGCAACTCTCACATACTACCCGACCTTTTCTTCAGGCAAGATGGTGGTGTTGGTGGCGACATCGGTGGCTGAGCAGGACCTCAGTTGGTAGTGCAGAGGATCAAGAAAGCATACGGAAACGATGAGCCATTGTTATTAACAACTCGATGGACGTCACTGTGTTCGTTGCTCAAAAATGGTGAGATCGACACATAGCAAGTGTGCACTGCCCATGTGCTCGTGACCTGATGTTCGCCTTGCTCAGCCACGGGGTTGATTTACCGGGTAAATCGCTTAAACATCACCACCACTTCAGGACTACAAGCGTACTATGCTACATAAGCTTCTATCTTTGCCTTTGTTTCCGAGTACTAATAGTAAGAAAGCATGTCCCTCCTCTAAAAGAGATGAAGTCCTCATAATCGTTGCAACAACTGATTCCAACTTTGACCATTTACTTCGTAAACCAATTACACCAACCACGACAACTTCAATTGAACGCCAGGTGCATCACCACCACACTACCACTCTCTCTACTCGCCTGGTCGATTCTGAAAATGGGTTCCTGCCTCTCCATGTCATCACTTACCCCCAAAAACCCTTCTGCCCTAGAAGCTCATAGCGAGAATGAGAATACCAGGACCACAGCCAGGCCGCCTGATTTCCTCGATGAAAACGGGAAATACGATGCGGCAGCGGCAGGGAGAGAGATGGCTAAGACGGGGAGGACTGCTGGTGGAATGGGGTATGGAATGGTGGGGGGAGCGGCTGGGACGGGCTATGGAGCTGGATGATAAGGGCGATGGTCTTGGGTGTGGTGCAGTGGGAGGTGAGATAACTATGGGAGATGTGACAAAGCGACTAGGGTGGGCTATTGCTGGAGTACAGAGTAATTTGCGGCGCTAGTGGGTGAGGAAGTAGGGTGTTCATATAAATGTTATGAAAGGCAGGAATAACGAAATCTTCTGAGTTCAGATATACGATGGAGCTCGTTTCTTATGGGTTGAACCCGAAAACTAACCCAGAAGGTATTCACTCAATGTTCCACTTACAGGAGCTCAAACGTAGCAACAGTGTATCCTATAGGGGGTACTTTAGTTCGCCTTAAAAACTATCCATAATGAGCGTCTTCATAGTCTTGTAGGGTTCGCCACTGGAGCTCAGGCGGCGCTTACCCCAGTTTATCGGCTGCATTAGCGCCCTTTTTCGTCCCGCGTGGACCCTTGCTTGCGCGGAGTTAATACGATGTGTGGGTCCCCTTTGGCGGGACACAAGTGAGGCTGAACGGCTTGCTTACTTTCTTTTTGTTGCCCGCCAGCTGTTCACGCTTCGTTACTCCACTCCTACCGGTCAGCCTGCCGGTCATCTTGGGAACTACTGCAGCTGTGTGTTTTGCTGGCGATTAGGCAGCAGAAAGGAAGAATAATAATCCGGAAGAGTTGCGAACACGGCCAATGTGATTACGTGGACCGTCGCACGTATCGATAAAGGCAACAACACGAACATACTACGGAGTACTCTTTGCGATATCACGAGAGAGCCAGATTCGGAGGGGAGTTTACAGCATGGCACCGCGACTGGCTTTCATGGACCTTTCGGTCGATATCAAGACGTTGATCGTCCAGCATGTAAGTGTTTGGGTTGATGGGCGGTTGGTTCGCGAGGCTGGGGGAGGGGTCGCGCCGTGGGGTAGATGAGCATGAGGACCTTCTGGCATACCTCTCGAATGGGTGTTTTGGCGCATTCGGATGACTCGAATATGTCCTGAATTCATCTCTGGGGCGAGGTTCGTAGCTATAAGAAAAGCACGGCTGACACTACATTCTCCAGATCAACCGCCCAACCGACCTCAAGAACGTCTGCCTCACCTGCAAGCAACTCCACGAGATCGCCGTTCGTCAACTCTACTACGAAGTGACCCTCGATGTCGGTTCATCCCACGATACCCGCCTTGCGGCCTTCCTCAGCCCTAAGAACATTGGCCTACAACATGTCCGGAAACTAGACCTCTACCTCGCGGACGTTCTGGATAAATGCAATCAGCAGCAACAAGCCAACTTTGCTATCCGCATGATCTTGGAACTGCTTCCGGAGAACCAGCTAGAGAAGTTCTCGTGGCATCCGTGGTCTCCGTTTTCGGGTGACAACCTGGTGTTACTGTACAGGAAACAGAAGCGCATGCGATGGCTGGAGAGCATTTCGCTCGACCGCAATGTTCTTCCCGAACTCCAGAAGCTGCCGAACATTGAGGGGTGCTTCAAGGAAGTACGCAAGCTTGGATTGTACCCAGATTCACGGGAGGTGCTAGACTTTTGTCACTTCTTGCTGAAGAACGTGGCTGGTCGCAAACTGGAGAAGATTACGCTGCATGCGAGCTTCGATGAGATGGATCCGACTGTCACGACGCGCGAACTAAACGATACCGTCAATGAGCCTGGACTCATAACCTCGACCATGTTCAGCCACATGCAGCCGTTCGCGAAGTGCACGCCAATCGCACTTAACGAGATCACGCTGCAGAAGTTACATTTGCGCTACGCAGCAGAGACATACTGCAAGTTAATCGACTTCCAGTCCATCAAGAGCATCCGCATATTCGGCTGCTCCGGTGCTGACGCCCTCTTCGCCGAACTCAGCAAGAGCACAAAGCTCCCTGATAAGCTAGAAACCCTCGAGTTCAAACACGACGATAACGCCGAGAATGATGGTCTAGGCGCTATTGACGGTTTCCTTTGCCTCGTCTCAGGCATCAAGACCCTTACTCTCGACCTCACGTACGTCAAAGCTCTACCGGCCGCCGCAGGTATCGTGCGCCACAGCAAGACACTGAAGAGCCTCAACGTCCACGCGAGCACCGGCCCAGATATGTGCGACGAAGAACTCATCTACGACTACGCCTCGTTTTCTTCCATTTGCAAAGAATGCACCCTCCTCGAACAAATCTCCGTCGCCTTCCCCAGCGTCAGCGTCATCCGCAGTAAAAACGATAGTTTTGTCAACTTTGAGAACTGTCTGGGTGATCTACCACAATTAGCAACTTTGAACATCACTACCTGGCCTACCAACAGTCCTTCATCGACTAAGCTGCCACGCAAGATTTACGAACATTTGCTTGCTGGGTTGGCACAGCAGGGATTTGAGAGGAGCGCAAGTAATGCGAAGGAGAAGAGCAGGAGTAGTAAGTTGGGCATTATTGCGTTTGGGTCAAGTGACAAGGTTTATGATCGGGAGGATAGTGAGAACCAGATCAGTACGTATTCACCTGTTTTCTCTCCTCGCTCCCCTTTCCCCCAACCTCATAACATGACTCTTGCTAACCTATCTCAATCATTCAGTCTTTGTCAAAGGCCGCCAAATCGATCCCCTAGGCAATGAGACTTCAACGGCGGTACAAATCGGATGGTGTTTGCGCAAATTCATCGATGCAGGATCCAAGTCTGATATCTTGGATTTCTCGCTAAGTAGGAGTTCGAGGCCACCGAGTAGAAGCGAGCCAGGGAGTGATGATAGTGATCTCTGACAGGTACGGTTGGAGTGGTAGGGCATGGAAGAGGTATCAGCAGGTATTGGTTGGCAGCTTGCGCTTCGGTTCTCAACCTACAGGGGTACATCGTAGTGATATTGACCGAGGGCTGGAATGGGCTGAACAGGTCACGGCCAGCATTTATACCAATTTGAAGGGTTCAGCGGGCGTTGGCATCTACAATACATTCTTTGCGACATGAAGTTTTGCGACCAAATTGGTATGAAGAATACGTCCACGACATGGCCTGTCAGACCCACGCGACTCAAGCAGACCAGGAACACGGGTTCCCGCTCGGAGTATACTCCTTTGGACAAGATCGACGTCGCTAGAAGATCATACGAGATGCGTCATTGATGGACATATAAATCGGGACGCGACAATGTCTAGCACCGCGTCTCCATCCAAGTAGGAATAAGTACTACGTTGAGCGGAGTGACGGGCGAAAATGTTTTCGTCCTTGCGGATGCCATGGCGGATCGCTCCTGCCTAACATCATCTGTAGCTTGAAACAACTGCCAAATTTTCATGTCACTGAGCACACAATGTCTAGCAACGTCAACTCGACTCTGGATTGTTAACATGCCGATTGTTATCCGTCTCTTGCTACCGAAACCCGTATACGCGTCTACCCAGGCTCAGATCATCTCCCCCGGCCCTGTATCTGATCGCATCGGTAATTGCCGCGTGTGATCGGTCCGCGAAACTTATATGCAAGTAAGCCCTCTAGACTCGAGAAACTCTGAGATCTGTCACTGGCTGTCAGGCAGGAATGCGCCTCGTCGGATGAAATACATCTGGACCCTACCTTGCAGACGTTTCTTTATCCGGAAGCTAACGGGACATCAGCCAACGTCCTTCCCTCGTCGCGGTAGAACTGCGGCTACGCCATGACTTCTTCTCCGCATGCGTCGCAGTATGCTGTACCACCAGACGGCCAGGACCCGCATAATTACACGCCCTTGTATCCCAACGGGCAGGTTCTGGACGGCCAGGCACCACCGCGCATCGCTTACCCGCAAGAAGCCGCCTACCCGAAGCTCGAGAATATCAACGAGGTGCTCCAGGCGCAACAGGCTCTCCAAGCGAATCATGTCTTGAACCCTCCGCTGCCCCAACAATCAAAGCCGAACCGCCTGCGCAAAGCCTGCGATTCATGCAGCATTCGCAAGGTCAAGGTAACTGCTTTGTTCTAGCACTGTAGTCGGCAACACTGACCTCGGTAGTGCGATGAATCGGGGCCGCCGTGTAGAGCTTGCCTAGCTCTAGAAATCCCGTGTACTTTTGAGCGCCCGAGCCGACGACGCGGTCCGCCTAACAGACATGCCGAAGCGATCAAGAAGCGAAGGATTGGCGATGTAGACTCTGGCTCGTCGAATCCGCAGTCTCCCACCAATGCCGCCCATGCGCTGGCCCAGCTGCAGTCGTCGCATCCGACCCAGCTCTCTGCCGAAGAGATATGCGCCCTCCCCACACTCAACGCCCTCATCGACGATTTCTTTACATACATACACCCACTATGTCCCTTTCCTCACGAGCCGTCGTTTCGCGAAGCGTGGGGCCAGAGGGAGGACTTGTCGAATCCCTCGTTCCTGGCGCTGCTGGCGTCCATGATCGCGGTCCTGGTCGCTTCCTTCCCTCGAAAACCACGCCTACACCTCAATACACAGACGCGACGCGAATACCCAAATCATCTCTCCTTGGTCGACAAGTGTAGAGATGTGTGTGCGCGGGCGCGCGGGCCGGGCTATCTTGATCGGCCGTCTTTGAATGTATACGACGCGTGTACCAGCTACTTCCTGGGCTTGACTGGAGCCTACGTATTCCAGTGGCGGCAACTACGACTTTACTTGGCCGAGTGCCTAACTATCATACGGTCATTGGGTCTCCATAAACACGAGGCTCAGGGTTATACCTATCTTGGTGGTATGCCGCATGCGTGGGGCTCGAATGGACCCAACTACGATGGCTCGAGAGAGTTCAAAGTAGACTATATCACCGAGGAGATTGGCCGACGTGTGTTCTGGACAGTGTTTGTGGGCGTGCGGTAGGTTCTCATAATACTTCTTCTTCTTCAGGGTCGACAATGCTGACTTTGACCAGAACCATACAACAACTAGGCGCTTCGTTCGGAGAGTTGATGATTCCGCCCGCGACACCTACCGAGCCTCTCCCACCACTGCCCCGCGAAGTAGACGACGTGCACATCTTCCCAAACGAGATTCAACCACAGCGCGAAGGAGTCGTCTCCATGATCACTGGTTTCAACGTCAACGTGCGCATCTACCTCTCCTACTCATCACTAGCAACGGCGGAGATGGCATTCGGCATAGACGAGATATTCGACTGGGACCGACAACAACAGATTTTCGCACAGAGTTTGCAGCGCTGCCGGCAGATTCTAGAGAGCCTCCCTGAAGTCCTCAAAGTGCAACCAAAATCCAGCAAAGACAGCGGTCTCGAACAACAAAAACCCTACTACCCACCCATGCCAGAGTATTCCGGAATGCGAGATCCTACCTTGGACAGTTACCAAAAGACAGATAGCCACGACATGCGACGCTACGAAATTCAGAAAGCAAATATATACGCCAGCCATCTGTCTACTCGCTCACACCTCGTGGAAAAGTACTTTCTCCAACTAGACAAGTACCAGAGATCGGTGGGCCAGGCTCCTGCACAACCCAGCACCAACGCTCTCGCGGCAGGAATCGACAGGTTTGTATCCGGAACCACCCCCGACGCGGAAGTCCTCCAAAAAGCAATGTCAGAAGAACGCGAACAAGTGGTCAAAGACCTTCTGGTAGTACTGGGCAGCATCGACATGGTCAACATGGAGCCAAACGGCGACTCGTTTGTAAGTCTATACGTTTACTTGCAGAATTCAGATTTCCTGTATCAACCTTCAGACGACAATGAGTTTGTTCTCTCCATGTCAACCCACGACTTCTTTCGTAAAAATACAATCAGTCCGATCGCAAGCTTACGGTTCTTCCCTGCGCAGACTCAGAAGATACGCAGTATTGCCAGTACCCTCTTGGAAGTCCCCAAAGAGCGGCGTGGCAGTGTTGCACTACAGCACCAAGACTACCTTTACAAGTTCCTCGATATATTGAGTAAATTGGAGAGGGTGAGTCCGGAGGGGAGTGAGCCGAATGGTGGAGGTGCATTGGACGAAGAGAGTGAGTTGAGACTATGGGCGGACTTGAGGGACCATCAGTTGAGGTTTCAGGAACAAGGGGGCGTTTATGGGTTTTCGTAACAGACGGGCGTATGAGCAGAGTTGGAAGGAGTCGCGGCGCAGAGCACCGAATCTATGTAAGATACTTGTTGGGAGGGTCGTTGGTGGGTTATCGTGATTGGGGTTAGGCATGGGAGCTTATGCGTTTAGTACTGCAGTCGATCAATTGCACAAGATAATTGCAGGTCACATCGTCCGAGTTGACATAATGTCAGAACTGATCATGCGTCATGAGTCTTCAACAGGGATACAGTAGTTGTACAAGCTCTTCCTCCACAAGACGTGTGCACATACTCCAATCGCACGGCATCCCCAAGCCACGTCGTATAACGCCCATTGCATGCAATCCTTCATGATATCCTGTATGTTCTTGCACTTCTTGCCCTTTTTCATAATGTTTCTTCTCATGATAGCAGGTATTCTCCACAGCACAGCACATCCTCGGATTCATTAATCCGCACCCTACACTCCCATTCTACGGCACAACAACAACTCCTATACTCCCCGCCTGGCCCACAACGCTCCTCGCCACGCCCTCCAAACTCAGCCCACTCAACCTAGTCTCGCTATGCTTGATCTTCGCAATCTCATAGACATGCTTCAAAGACACTGTGCCCACGGTGCCCTTGACCGCGTTCCCCACAGTGGGACTACTCGTCGATGTCTTGCCCTTCTGCCCATCGTGGTTGTTCATGGGTCCGGGCACGTTACCAGCACCCCGAATCTTGTTCTTTTGGGGCGCGACGCCGGCAGCGGAGAGGAGCAGGGTTGCGGTGGGTGGTGTGCGCAATTGGAAGTGGAAGGAGCGGTCTGGGCGGACTGTTATACGTGCGGGGATCGGGGTGCCGACTGTGTAGTGGGCGGTGCGGGCGTTGAATTCCTGGGGTGGGTTGTTAGGACATGCATGTTGTGTAGATGTGGTGGGTATGGAGGGTGAGCTATTGGAAACGGCATGTAGGCAAGGATGGGGCGTCATGAAGATTTAGTAGTTCATATCATAAGAACGTTGTACTAATAATGGGACAGAGATTGAAGGTGTAGGGATGCTGCATAGGGCATGCGACAGTTGGAGATGATGAACGTACTTTGCAGAAATCCATGCTCTTTACACCTTTGCTTCCTAGCGCTGGACCGACAGGCGGCGAGGGCGACGCTTGCCCTGCGCCTACAATCAGTTTGACGATTTGGTCTTTTGCTATTGCTTTTCGCGCCATGTTGTGAGTGGGGGTTTGGTTTGGTGATGGGGTGGGTGCGCTATGCTGGGGAATTTGCGGAGAGGGCTCGGAGGTGTCGGTCACAGGGTTTTCAGCGCAAAGTCGAGCGAAAGAATTGACGCGTTAAACGTATCTGGAGGGCAAGAGACGTATGTTGCAGTAATAGAGATGCTATTTCTCAGTAAAAACGAATTTTCGGATGTTGGCAGAATGATGATGCTGCCTGCCATTCCACGTGATGACGTGATGAAGCTAGTAGTCGACGCGTCGCAATTCCGCCACCTGCGAGCACTGATCAGCATTCCCACACTACACTCGCTCTCCTTCCAACTCTCACCATATCGACCGAACATAGGCAATAAAACTTCGGACGACACACCAGAAGTGCCAATTTCTCATGCATCGTCCGAAAACCCTCGCAGCCGGCGAGGCCACCCCTGCGAAGCCCGCGGCGCGTCTGTACGGTGGCACTCCGCAGTCAACCGACCGTCTCATCAAACCCTTTCGGTGTCCCGGCTCAGCAACAGTATCCAGTGTCTCTACAAAACCTGCACGGAAGAGGAGGAAGGTCGATTACTCTGGTGCTGGCGGTGAAGATGGAGAGAGCGACAAGCCATATTCGAATGAAGACCGATTAGCTCTCGCCACTCGAGATGCAAACCGATTTCCCGTCTTCAAGCCAAAAGACAAAGACACCGCATTCAGGACCAAGTTCATCGTACCTCTGGTCAACAAGGATGTGGGAGCCTATAATCCGAATCGACCAGCGCCACTGCTTGGTATGCGAACAGGAACCGTCTTTGTTGCGCGACCACTGCACGACCCTAGCGGAGAGTTTGCGATTGTACTCTACGACCCGACAGTCGACGACAAGCCAGTAGAGAAGGAAGAAGTGGAGCCAAAATTGAGCCAAACAGAGAAGCAGGAGATGGAAGCTCCGCTAGTGCACAAGAGTTTGGCCGAGATACTGGGTTTGAAGAAGAAGGTAGACAATGAACGGCCACGCGTGCCAGTCGTCATAGATCCAAGGCTTGCTAAAGTTCTTCGACCCCATCAAGTCGAAGGTGTAAAGTTCCTGTACCGCGCGACAACAGGTATGATCGATCCCAAGGCGAACGGATGTATCATGGCAGACGAGATGGGTCTCGGAAAGACGCTACAGTGCATCGCTCTCATGTGGACGCTGCTGAAACAGTCACCCGATGCTGGCAAGTCGACGATACAAAAGTGCGTCATCGCTTGTCCGTCAAGTTTAGTGAGGAATTGGGCGAACGAGCTTGTCAAATGGCTTGGAAAGGACGCGGTCACCCCCTTCGCCATTGACGGCAAGGCATCGAAAGAGGAGCTTATCCAGCAAATACGACAATGGTCGATCGCATCCGGACGCGCAGTTGTCAGACCTGTCCTCATTGTATCATACGAAACCCTGCGCCTCTACGCCGACGAGTTTGGACAAACACCTATCGGTTTGATGCTTTGTGATGAAGGGCATCGACTGAAGAACGGTGACAGTTTGACATTTACTGCGCTCAACAACTTGAACGTGCAGAGGCGAGTCATCCTATCGGGTACACCCATTCAGAACGATCTATCAGAGTACTTCGCGCTACTCAACTTTGCCAACCCCAACTACCTCGGCACACGTATGGAGTTCCGCAAGCAATACGAAATTCCCATTCTGAAAGGTCGCGATGCCAACGGTACAGACGAGGATGTCAAGAAGGGCACTGAACGGCTCAACGAGCTTCTTGGGTTGGTCAATAAGTTCATCATTCGGCGAACCAACGACATCCTCTCCAAATACCTGCCAGTCAAGTATGAGCACGTCGTATTCTGCAACCTCGCGCCTTTCCAGAAGGATCTATACAACCACTTCATCAAGTCACCCGACGTCCAGAGTCTCCTCCGTGGCAAGGGTTCACAGCCACTCAAAGTCATCGGCATGCTCAAGAAACTCTGCAACCACCCCGACCTTCTCAACCTTCCCGAAGACTTGCCCGGCTGCGAAGACAAGCTACCCGACGACTTCGTGCAAAAGGATGCGAGAGGCAGAGATCGTGAAGTCAAGGTCTGGTACTCTGGAAAGATGGCTGTCCTGGATCGTATGCTGGCTCGCATCCGCGCGGAGACAAACGACAAGATCGTGCTGATTTCCAACTACACGCAAACCCTCGACATCTTCGCCATGCTCTGTCGGTCCCGCGGTTACGGCTGTTTCCGCCTTGACGGCACAATGAATGTGTCTAAACGGCAAAAGCTCGTCGACAAATTCAACGACCCCGAGTCCCCCGAATTCGTCTTCCTCCTCTCCTCGAAAGCCGGTGGATGTGGTCTCAATCTCATCGGCGCCAATCGCCTTGTCCTCTTCGACCCAGATTGGAATCCAGCTGCTGATCAACAAGCACTCGCGCGTGTATGGCGTGACGGCCAAAAGAAAGATTGTTTCGTATACCGCTTCATCACCACAGGAACCATTGAAGAAAAGGTCTTCCAGCGCCAATCCCATAAACAGGCTTTATCGAACTGTGTCGTTGATTCTGCGGAAGATGTTGAGCGCCACTTCTCTCTCGACTCCCTTCGCGAACTCTTCCAGTATCGTGACAACACTACGAGCGATACGCACGATACTTTCAAGTGCAAGAGGTGTAGGAAGGAAGATGGAAGGCAGGTCCTTAAGGCGCCGGCTATGTTGTATGGTGATACGAGTACGTGGAATCATTTTGTTAACGATGGGGAGACGGGGCCGTTGGGTAAGATTCAGGATTTGTTGCTTAGGCAGGAGACGGCGAACGATTTGAAGGATGTTAGTGCTGTGTTTCAGTACATTAGTCACTGAGTGGTGGAGGTTGTTTGCATTTTGTCTGCATGTTTTTTTTAGCGTTCGGGAAGCGTGGCATCGCGAGAGGCGTTGGTGCTTAGTGTTTGATGATAATGAATATGGCATCTTTATGTTAAGCTTGGAAGGGTCTGACATCATGTACGGAAGGTGCTGTTTGGTACCATGACCGTCTTATCGTTCGCTACCACAGTGCTTTTCTCAGGTACCTACAGAATGAGTGCTGATGTAACATCTCGGCCTATGGTGTATCAACAAACAGACACTGCTCGCATCCGACCGAGATGTTTGGTCCATTGTTATGAAAGCAAGGCCGAATGAGAGCCACCATGTTGGTCATACTTCCAGGATATGAGATGACTAACACATCGATGCGTACCATGTTCCCACCATGCGCAAAACTCGGAGCAATTAGACTACCACTGGTACCGTTCCGTTACATGCTCACCTACCTCTACCAGTCCGTCACACGCGCACCCATATCAACACTAAAAACAGCTCCGCCGTCACCATCATCTTGCCGCAAACCAAGGTCAAAAATATGAAGAATCCGTCCGAACACTATCGAGCGCGAGACCTACAAGGGTTTCGGCACCTGTGAATCTGAGAATTTCCATGTGCGAATACTTTTTGGCTCAGGTTCCAAAAGGTGGTCCCGAATGAACCATTCCGAGCACACTAGCGCCACTTGGTCTGAGCTTCAACATTTCGTAGACAGCTCCACCGTCCGTCACCACCTCCACACCACAAACTTCGCACACCCCAATATTCTCGACACGATACCTACCGAACCCTCGCGCACACCATACAGCATGGATTCGAAACGCCGCAAGACCGGCGACCAAGACATCAGCGCGCTGAGGCTTGCGTCGCGCCAGAAATACCTTGCCGAACGAGAAGCGCAACAACTCGCCCTACTTCGCCGCCAGGTTGCAGAGGAAGCAGAAGAGGAGGAGAGATTAGGGGACAAACTATCGGCAAGGGAACGTCAGGAGTTTAGAAACAACAGGAAAACTCTGGAGTTGGCAGAGGCGCGTAATGCTATCGATGATTCGGGAGAAGGCTACATACTGCCCGATGCGGACTATTCGAATAAGCATGAGGCCCTTACCAAACGACACAAAGACAAGGTCTATGAGAAGAGCGAGGTTCAACTATGGGAAGAGGAGCAGATGAAGAAGATCAAGAGTCAGCCTAAGCCCAAGGCATCGGATCGTGTTCACGAGGAGGACTATGAGTACGTCTTCGACACATCCAACGAAGTACAGTTTCAGGTGGATGCCTCGACTCGTGTGGATGTGGACAAGCAGATGTTGCAGCGCCAGCTAGATGAAGCAGAGAAAAGGGCTTCTAGTATTGAGGACGTCCGACGAAGTTTGCCGGTCTACAAGTTCCGGGACGAACTACTCGCCGCCGTGGATCAGCATCAGGTTATCGTTGTCGTCGGTGAAACTGGATCCGGAAAGTCGACTCAAATCCCGCAATACGTCCATTCTGCTCTTGATTCGAGCGGTATGATTGCTGTCACACAACCACGACGAGTTGCGGCTATGAGCGTTGCCAAGCGTGTAGCAGAAGAGTTTGGCTGTAAGCTTGGGAACGAAGTGGGTTACAGCATTCGTTTCGAGGACAAGACTGGGCCGAAGACAAAGATCAAATTCGCCACAGACGGTGTATTGCTACAGGAGGCGAAGTCCGATCCGCTACTCTCGAACTACTCTTGCATCATGATCGACGAGGCCCACGAACGGTCCCTACAATCCGACTTGCTACTGGTTCTCTGCAGGGAAGTTTGCCATGCTCGACCAGAATTCAAACTCCTCATCCTTAGTGCTACTATCAACGCTGCGCACTTCTCACAGTACTTCCACAACTGTCCTATCTTCTCAATTCCTGGTCGAACTTTTCCCGTGGAAGTTTTGTATTCTAAAGCGCCAGAAGCAAATTATCTTGCAGCAAGCATCACGACTGTGATGCAGATACATATTTCTGCAGAGCCAAAAGGGGACATTTTAGTCTTCTTGACAGGTGAGGAAGAGATCCTAGCGGCTGCGGAGAGCATAGAGGAAACGAAGAAAAAGCTTGGATCAAGGATTAGAGAGCTCGTCGTATGCCCTATCTACTCTGCCCTCCCGCAAGATTTGCAACAAAAGGCGTTCGAGCCAGCCCCTCCTAATGGACGCAAGGTTATCTTAGCTACCAACATCGCTGAGACCAGTGTGACCTTCGAAGGCGTGAGGCATGTTGTCGACACAGGCTACAGCAAAGAAAATACTTGGGACAGTGTTCGAGGATTGTCATCACTTGTCATAACACCAATTTCGCGTGCCAACGCAGACCAGAGAAAAGGAAGAGCGGGTCGTACGTCATCTGGTTGGTGCTATCGATTGTATACTCGAGCCGCCTACTACAACGAGTTACAGCCTGAGAACATACCCGAGATCCAACGTACAAACCTCGATGAGGTCGTGTTAAGCCTCAAGCAACTCGGGATAACTAACTTGCTTGAGTTTGAGTTTCTGGACAGCCCTTCGAGCACGTCTATGATCAAGTCTCTTGAGAACTTGTACGCCCTGGGAGCTTTGGACTCCACAGGTGCTTTAACTCGATTAGGTCGAAGAATGGCGGAGTTACCTTTGGATATCAAGCTATCGAAGGCTATCATTGAGTCCGAAAAGTACGGCTGTAGAGAGGAAATCCTCTCGATCGTTAGTATGACGGGAGAATCTGCGACCCTGTTCCTTCGACCCAAAGACAAGAAGGTTGCGGCTGACGCTGCACGCAAAAGGTTCACATCGTTAGAAGGGGGTGACTTCATAACGTATCTCAACATCTGGAACGAATTCGTTGAAAGTGGTTACGACCCAGGGTGGGCACGTGAGAACTATCTTCAAGGAAGGGTTCTTACACGTGTGCGAGACGTTCGTGACCAATTGGAGCGACTGGCCGACCGCGTCGAGGTGCCGGAGTCATCATGTGGTACCGATCACATCGCCATTCGGAAGTGCCTTACCGCCGCGTTCTTCACAAATGCAGCGAGGCTGCAGAGAGATGGGCAGACCTACCGTGTCCTGGCAAACAGCGGTTTGACAGTCCACATCCACCCCTCCTCTCCCCTCAACGAAAGCCGACCGAAGTGGTGCATATTCGCTTCTCTGCAGGCAACCTCGAAAGAGTGGATGATGACCTGTGCACCTATCGAGCCAGATTGGCTGGTCGAGGTAGCACCTCACATGCACACCGAGAGCTCAATCTCCAAGCTTGGCGACAACAAGAAGATGCCAAAGGCGCTGCAGGAGAGGTCGAAGACCAGCGCTGGTCACAACACGACAATCAAGAGTGGGATGTCCATGGGTCAGAAGTAGGTCATGGTAGCGGAATTTACTCTCTCTCTCTCCTTGTTCTTGGAGTTGAGGAATCCTGGGGTTATGTCGTCGGCCGACATGTATAAGGTTTGGGGCAGAGTGATGTTCACTACCCTTGGTATGCGTTAGGTATAGTGATAGTGTAGCAGTTCTTACAGAGCTCACGTCTTGTAGGAGTCAGGGTTGGGCGTTTTGGAAGGGAAAAAAAGGTCACAATGTTCGATATGATACCCGATCTCATGCTTTATCTTCATCAGGCGTTTTCGAGTCTTTGCGTAGTATGATAGAATGGAAAACGTGGAGTCAAAAAAAAAAGTCTGAATTTCAAGGTGTATCGAATTGGCGTGTATACTCACGTATTTCGTGCTAGCTCTGCTCGAAAATTCAGCGTTGTGAAGTGCTCGAGGCTGTTACATTGGCACGTATGATCGAGGCCTCACACGCCCATCGTATACCGCGAGGCTGGGCAGAGAGTACTGAGAAGCGTCATGACGATGCACACCATGTTTCTCAAGCGAATGAATCGGAGTCTATTCCCATTTCTTAGCTCTGTTGTGAGTTGCCAGACCGCACCAAGATAATGGGAAACTACAGACATTATCTACCTGTTGACAGTACTAACAGAGCGGATTCAGTACATGCCTCACACAATTCCACATATTCCGTTGCCTATATCGCTAGCTAGGTGTTCTGCCATCTCATACATTCATCAATCTTCATGATAAAACTCTCCCTGATCTAGCCGCCATGTAAATACTACACTATATCCCATCCCTGAAACACACACTTTCAAGCACACACTGGAACTTCATACTCCCTCTCCCCCTCCGTACTAAACAACACCACCACACTCTCCTCCCCCAAGCCCAGCACTCTTTTCGTCTCCCCATCCCCACAAACTTTCTTCAACGCCGTCAACGTCGCAGCTCCACACGGCCCATTCCTGACCCCACTCTCATGCAACTCCAACAAATCATTGTGAACATGGATATCCTCTACCGTAACACTCAAATCCACCCCTTTTCTCAGCACTTCCCATGCCGTCGTGGATGTGGTTCCACAGTTCATCCCGTTGCATATCGTATGGCCAGTTTGAATAGGTGTGATTTTTCCGGCGGAGAGGGAAGCGAGAAGACTAGCTGCTGTGGAGGGCTCGACTGTGATGACGGAGGCGGATGGGGAGTTGGAGGGGGCCTTGTAGTGCATGGTCACGGCTTGCGCCCAGGAACCTACTCCGCAGGCGGCTATGGCGTGGGTTACAGGGGGGATGTGCATGGCTTTGAGCTGGGCGTCTGTTTCGGTGAGCATGGTTGTGTAGCCTTCTACTACCCACTGCTTCCCGTTAGTCTGCCGTTCTAGTCGAAACCGTGTAGATTTTGGTAGATGGTGATGTGGGTTGCGTAGCTAGTTGGGTAATCACACACCTGGGGTATCTCTTCGTATCCTTCCCAAGATACATCCATGACTAACATGGCTCCCTTGCCGTCCGCTTCTTCTCTAGCTTTTGCAATGGAGTCGTCGTAGTCTCCGTCTACCACTCTCACTTCTGCGCCTTCGCTCCTGATCTTCTCTTGCGTCGCTTCGTCCATGAAACCAGGAACGAAGACGACGGCTTTAATCTCCAGATACTTTGCCATTCGCGAAACAGCTCTGCCCCAGTTCCCTTCTGTACACGCAACTAGTTCGATACCCGCTTCTCTTGCTGCAGTGCCAAGTTCATCCAGGGTAGCAGACAGTGGGAGGTGGCATTTTGATGCGATAGCCTTGTGGATGGCCCACGATGCGCCCAGGATCTTGAAGGCTGGAAGACCGAGACGGTTGGATTCGTCTTTTACGAGGACATGACGCAGGCCGAGTTGTTTGGCTAGGTCTGGTAGGGGGATGAGAGGAGTGACGGAGTAATCTGGGAGGGTGCGGTGGAAGGGCTCAACTGCTGGGTTTGCAGAGGGTCCAGGGTACTCCCAAGAGGCTGCCGATGGGTTGTGGAACATGGTGGCAGAGGAAAGGAATATGAGTTGATGGGTTTAGTGTTCAAGCATACATTTGAAATGATATTGGCTGGAAGATTACTTCCATCCAACCTTTCTAGAGCAGCGCTTTCATGTATAGTCCATGAATCGTTCGCAGGGCGTGCCCAGCCTGATTGCTGGTTGGGCGTCTACATGGTGTAGGTTCTGTACATTACTGCAAGCCATCATGAATAACATGCGCGTCTCTTCCGACGGGAAACGCTCAAATTGGTCAACTTGGTTAGGGCTAATCGTGGGGGTGTGGGACCAAGTAGCTGTTCAGGGTCCGGCCCACGTACGTCATCCCCGAGGCTCTTTACGCAGCTGCCTTTGCGCATGTGTTTCACAGCATACTCCAGCACCTGCGACGACAAACCACGACAATGTCACAGCAAGGAGTGCATGCAGCGCTGGGAAACATACCAAGAGTTGTAGTGCGACCAACAGTGGATAATGTTATAGCGTCCACGTACCTCGTCAAGGTATTCAAAGGAATTCTGCTGTGCTTGCGCATATGCTAATAGGCAACAGGGCATCGTCTTCTTCCTCGCGCATCCGTTTCTATACCCTCTGCTCAAGGCGCGATTACTCCCCGCAGTCCTTCTCAGCATCTTTGTGCTTACCAACCTCTTTGTGTGGACATTGCTGCCACAGGTTCTCTTCCTCAAGCTGTTCCACACAGCAGGTAGTGCCTGGGTCAACGCCGTATTCCTCGTCTTGGGAGAAGGGGCCGCGGTCGTCGCATTACTCTTCGAGTCCTTCTTGGTGGTTCGTACACCCTCTCATATCTAACACGCATATCTTACAGGCGCTAACGTTCTTACCCTTAGGACGAGTCCCAAGTCGACGTCTTCGACGCCGTCCTCATCTACAAAGGCTACGAAGACCTCGTTCGCAAATACCGCCCCGTCAGCGAAGATTCCCTCAACGACCCCGTACGCCGCCTCGGCAAGCCCATACGCTCATCTGTCTATGCGCCCTTTTCGTTCCGCCAGATCGCTGAGTTTGTGATCCTACTGCCTGTGAACTTTATACCCTATGTCGGAGTGCCGATATTTCTTTTGTTGACGGGATATCGCGCAGGCCCGTTCCAGCACTGGCGGTACTTTCAGCTTTTGGGATACGACAAGAAGCAGAGGAATGCTGCGATTAGGAAGAGGAGATGGCAGTATACTTGGTAGGTCAAATGCCTCGATGGGTTGATCAGAACAAGGCTAACATAAACAGGTATGGCACTGTGTATTTGGTTCTACAATACGTGCCGCCGCTCAGCATGTTCTTTCTCATGACGGCGCCAGCCAGCTCGGCGTTGTGGGCGGCGGACTTGGAGAGGGCGAGGAGGGAGCAGGAGGCGAACCTGGCGCAAGCGCCGCAGTACACGGACGAGCCTGACGCGGGTGTATGATAGTACACCGCATAATCTTATCTAGCTGTTCGGAACTCACCAACTGGAAGACTGTATAGCATCAATGTTTGAGCTAGCAGGTTGTTGCTCAGGTCCCCAGATGATCGGAGTGCTGAGGTCATTGAAGCTTGACGCGCGTGATCACGGGAAGGTTTCGCGCGATGGTTGCAAGATTTGCATGTTGCCACGATGTGTGGACAAAGCAAAATGCGTGAATTGTCAACTGTCAGTCTATTGCCCAATCGACTCGGTCAGCTGGTGCAGTACCATATTGTCGTGTCTTGCCTTGCTGGTCGACCTCGGTTCCCACAGTGACGGCGGATCCGGTACCTGCGCCAACGGACCTCGAACAGGGAACGTGTCACGCTAGTCGCACGGCGGCCAGGCAGCACTGATCACATTCGTCATTCGCCCGCCGCGCCTTCCCCAGCCCCATAGATAGCTGCAGCTTGAGCTCCATCCCCAACACACCTGACATTCACTTTCTCCATCTCTCCCACTCCCCCATCCATCATCCATCCATCCAACCTTTCCCCCTTTCTATACCCATCCGAGTCCATTAACCGTCCGCCATCATGAAGACGGCGGTGCTTCTCGCAGCAGCCACCTCGGCCTCTGCGGCCGTCTACAAGACGCCGCTCAAGAAGGTCTCTCTGTCTGAGCAGCTGGTAAGCCATCATCGCAACCAAATGCGCGAGGTCGCAGTCTAACGACAAGTAGGAATTTGCCAACATCGAGACCCAAATGGCTGGCCTCAAGCAGAAGTACTCTCAGCAGCACATGACCGACCTCAAGTCGCAGTCTCAGTCTCACATGGAGGCGGCGTTGAAGGCACCCTACATTGCCGACGGAACCCACCCCGTGCCCGTCAGCAACTTCTTGAACGCGCAGTGTACGTGTCAAAAGCTACCAGTCTCGAGTGGCGACTAACAGACGCAGACTTCTCCGAGATCTCGCTCGGTACTCCTCCCCAGACCTTCAAGGTCGTTCTCGACACTGGAAGCTCCAACCTCTGGGTCCCCTCGCAGAGCTGCAACTCGATTGCCTGCTACCTTCACACCAAGTACGACTCTTCAGCGTCGTCGACATACAAGAAGAACGGCACCGACTTCGAGATCCGCTACGGATCCGGCTCGCTCAGCGGCTTTGTCTCTCAGGATGTCTTCCAGATTGGCGACCTCAAGGTCAAGCACCAGGACTTCGCTGAGGCGACATCCGAGCCCGGTCTTGCCTTCGCCTTTGGTAGGTTCGACGGCATCATGGGTCTTGGCTACGACACTATCAGTGTCAAGGGCATAGTCCCTCCCTTCTACAACATGCTTGATCAGGGTCTCTTGGACGAGCCTGTTTTCGCCTTCTACCTTGGCGACACCAACGAGGGCCAGGAGTCCGAGGCTACCTTTGGTGGCATCGACGAGAGCCACTACACTGGCAAGATGGTCAAGCTTCCCCTCAGGCGCAAGGCCTACTGGGAGGTTGATCTCGATGCCATCACCTTCGGCAAGGAGACGGCTGAGATGGACAGCACTGGTGTTATTCTTGACACCGGTACATCTCTGATTGCCCTTCCTTCCACCATCGCCGAGCTCTTGAACAAGGAGATCGGTGCCAAGAAGGGCTTCAACGGCCAGTACTCGGTTGAGTGCGACAAGCGTGACAGTCTGCCCGACCTCACCTTCACTCTTACCGGCCACAACTTCACCATCAGCGCTTTCGACTACATCCTCGAGGTTCAGGGATCTTGCATCTCTGCCCTCATGGGTATGGACTTCCCCGAGCCAGTAGGACCTCTTGCTATCCTCGGTGATGCTTTCCTCAGGAAGTGGTACTCGGTATACGACCTCGGTAACTCTGCTGTCGGACTTGCCAAGTCCAAGTAAGACAGCAGTTGTAGAGTATGGATACGATACAGCTTCAGGAACGTCATGGTTATGACGGCGTTTGGATCAAATTGTAGTTGGGTATAATGACTTGGGTATCGGTTCTACAGTAGCACAACAGCAAATGTGAAGAATAAAGTAAAATTGTCGTGTATCGTGATGTGACGAATACATGTCAACGGAGCTGGCTCATTGTCGCGCCCCCAGCTGTCAACGCGTAAGCTATTATAGTCTGCGCTAGACGGACGGCTACGGTCGGTCCCCAGGCGTTTACACGTGCACCTATCGATAAGCTCAACCAATGACGTCTTCGGGACGGCCGCGACGGATACGGATGGCTTGCAGCTCAGGCATCCTAGAAGCATGTGGGATGATAACGGCTTGGAGGAGGACATTAGAATTAATACGCTATTCACTTCACTCCACTGCTACCGGTCACTGTTGTTGCCTAGAGGTGTGCGTGGGTAACCTTATCGTGTCACGCTAGCAGGTACCCCGGAGCGTGGATCTCGTGGCTGACGAGCGTGCATAGCTCGCAGACGTACAAGTCATTCCGGCAAACGCGAACGCCCCCAATATGTGACTGTTAACAGAATCTGTCAACTGCCTTGCAGCAAGAATCACGCAATACACGTCTGGACTTACTCCAACCTTTGCGTAAATCTGCCTCGCCTTCGCCGCGGTACATCCGCCAACACAGACGCCCGCAACCTCACCTCACCAATAAACTGTTGAGCGCCCGCGCACTCCACCACCCTCCGCCCAACCATGGCAACCTCACAAGACAGAGGTCGTGACAGGACAAGTCGTCGTCTGAGCCGCAAGCGAAGGAACTCGGCGCGAGAAGCACGCGGTATGTCGCTCGACGTGCCAGAGCGCTTTCGAGATGGAGACGATGCACAAGAAGACGTTACGGCGCCGAAGCGCAACAACACCATGTCGATGAATCAGTCGCTCTTCTCCATGATAGCACGTGCAGGGCAACAATCACAAACAGACCTGGGTACGATGGCTGAGGTTGACTCGGGGGATAGCGATGATGGAGGTGGGAAGCGGAAAACATACAGGAACCTCGACGGTGCAGCACGATTGAGTCGACTGAGTTCCGCAAACGACTTCCAGAGTGCGGAGCAAGACGCAGATGATAAGATGGACAAGGGAAAGCATAGACGGACCCTTTCTGAGAATAAATACTTGCGCAACTTGCCCAAGTTGAAGTTGTCGAGCAGGAAAGAGGGACAAGCGCAAGGGCGGACGTCGAACCGCAGCGATCAGAACCAGATGTCAAGCAGCCAGTTCTTGCCGCCGAAGCCGTCGCCCGACGACCTTGCCAGTCCACCACCGTCGAGCGCGACGCCGACCAAGACCAAGACCAAGGACAAGAAAGACATCGGCGCCAGCGAGGACATGGCGGTAGACAAAGCGCAGGCTTCTGGTCGCAAGAGCAGACATGGAAGCAGCGCCGGGCTAGCTAAGAGCAAAGCACCCGTCACGCTGGCGCAGAGGATACAGCAGATATTCGAATTCGAAGAGGTGGAAGAAGTCATTTCCGAATACGCATGTTGGCTGCTTCAGAGCATCTTGCTGCAGGGATACATGTACGTTACGCAGAAGCATATATGCTTCTACGCCTATATCCCTAAGAAACATCACGATGTCAGCAAGACGGGCTATCTGTCGAAGCGCGGCCGGAGCAAGTTCAATCGGTATTGGTTCGTATTGAAGGGGGATGTCCTGGGTTACTACACCAACCCCGCCGAATTGTACTATCCCCGGAACCGGATCAATTTGCAGTACGCGATTTCTGCCGAGGTCATCGATCCCTCCTCCGCCAATACCAAGAAAGGGGAGGAAGAGACCAGCTTCGCCATCACAACGGACGAGCGGCGCTACCTGTTCAAAGCGGATTCCGCAGCTAGTGCCAAGGAATGGACGCGTGCTATCCAAAAAGTCATCTTCAGAACGCACAATGAGGGGGGTAGTGTGAAGATTTGCTTGCCGATTGGCAATGTGATTGAGATTGAGGAGAGCAAGATGTTGGATTTGGCACAGACGGTGCGAGTGAGGGTTGTGGATAATGATGAGACGTTTGCTATTGATGAGGTACGTTGAGCTGACAAACAAGAGGAGCTTGTTTCTATTGAGTTGTAGGGTCCGTCCGACCTCTTGTGGGACCCTACAACACAATAGAAACGGGTTGCTTCGTATGAACGAAATTCATGCTAATTATGACAGTATTTCTTCTCCTTTTTCAACAAAGGCCAGGATGCGCTGAATGTTCTGCGCATCATGATCAACGATAACGAGCACCACCAGGCTCTGCAGCAGCAGGGTGGTGACGGCGAGGCGTCTACACCGGTAGCAACACCGACTATCAGCACCGAGACACCACACATTCACGAGAACGTTCGGGCTACGCTTTCACCTTTGCCGGCACCTCATGCAGGACGGACCAGTATAAGCGATGTGTCTGCGAGGTCTAGCAATGATGCGAATAGAAAGAGCTGGGATGTGCGACGTAGTATGGACGCGGGTCGCGGCTTTCGACGAACGAGCCAAGAAGTCCGACGGCCTAGTCATGAGGTGCGACGGAGCTTCAGTAATAGGGGTCGCCAGGGAGACAGGACTCCGGGGATAGTGGCTGGGGGAGGCAGTGGGGAGGGTGGAAGTCACTCACGTCAGTCGCCCGGGGCAGCGGATTCGGAATCAGCCTTTGACCCAGGTAAGCTGTGGCTGCACGAAATTCATATGAGACATACACTGACTTTGTATCTTTACCTTTACAGGTACCGAGTCGTCTGTCGCCATCCAATCCATGGACGAGAGCGGCGCCTCAGCTTCTCAAATTCTAGACCGCTCCGACGTTTTCCGTGGACCTGTCAACACGCCTCTTCACAAACTCGACACACACACCAGACACTCACAGGACACGGCGCGATCGACTCAGCCAAAGTCCGCTAATCGTTCAAAGCGACCCCAAACACCGACTGGCGCGCCTGAGTTCGAAGATGATACCGACCACAGCGCGCAACCGCGCCTATCAGGTTCATCATCCGCTCTACAGGATCTCGCTTCCTACCCGCTTCAGAAGGCTTCGGGCTTGGCGGGCTTTCTCAGAACGCGCTCAAAGAAGATCAGCAATCTGCTCACCGGAGGCGAGTCTATGGGTTACTACGAAAAGGTGTCCGGCATGCTTGCAGGTGGGCGAAAGCATTACAACACAGCCGAGGGACTAGAGACTGGCGACCAAATTCACGGATTCGAGGACGATGAGGATGCCGCGAAGGCTGCGGAGAACTTCCGGGATCATTTCGCCTTCCCCGAGACTGAAGTCCTCCAGTCATCATTCTTCGCATCACTCCAGCGTCTCGTGCCAAACTATGGCAAAATCTACATTAGTGGGAGGTATTTTTGTTTCCGCAGCTTGATGCCAATATCCAAGACTAAAATCATTCTTCCCATGCGGGATATTGAGAATGTCAACAAGGAGAAGGGATTTCGACTAGGCTACCATGGTCTCACCGTCGCCATCAAGGGCCACGAAGAGCTCTTCTTTGAGTTTTCAAAGGCTGAGTACCGCGATGAGTGTGCAATCATGGTGCTCCGCGTTCTGGAGAACACAAAGTACCTCCAAGAGGAGGATTCGTCGTCTTCGGGCGTGGATAGCGATGACGAAGCTGCAAAGGCAGAACACGATTTGCTACAACAAGCTCGCGAACATACCGATACGGACAAGCCAGCTAACATGTCGGACATCGTCCGTGCTGCAGACCACGACCGCATTCCCCTGATTTTCGACGACCCGCTCGCCTCCTTCGTCGACTTCAAGCCCTCGGAGCCCCTGACCATCGTCTGCCTCACCATTGGATCCCGCGGCGATGTCCAGCCCTACATCGCGCTATGCAAAGAACTCCTCAAGGAGGGTCACAAACCACGCATCGCAACGCACGCCGAATTTGAACCCTGGGTCCGTAAACACGGTATCGACTTCGCAGTCGTCGACGGCAATCCTGCAGAGCTGATGCGCATCTGCGTTGAACACGGCATGTTCACCTACGGCTTCATGAAGGAAGCCAATGCCAAATTCCGCGGCTGGCTCGACGACGTCTGCAGCTCCTCCTGGCGCGCTTGCCAAGGCGCCGACGTCCTCATCGAGTCCCCCAGCACCATGGCGGGCATTCACATTGCCGAAGCGCTTGAAATACCGTATTTCCGCGCCTTCACCATGCCGTGGACGCAGACACGTGCGTACCCACATGCCTTTACTGTTACAGAAAAGAAGATGGGTGGGACGTATAACAATTACACGTACACGGTTTTTGACAAGGTGTTTTGGACTGCCATAGCCAATCAGGTGAACAAGTGGCGGAGGAGAGAGTTGGGACTGCAGGCCACGAATCAGCATAAGATGCAGGCCAATCTGCGTCCTTTTCTTTACAACTTCAGTCCGCACGTTGTGCCGCCGCCACTGGACTGGCCGGATTGGGTCAGGGTTACTGGATACTGGTTCTTGGACGAGAGTGAGATGTATGAGCCGCCGAAAGAGCTGATGGCGTTTATCGAGAAGGCGAGGAGAGACGGCAAGAAGTTGGTCTATGTGGGCTTTGGATCCATTGTCATTGATGATCCGGCTGCGCTTACCAAGACGGTTGTGGATTCGGTGCTCAAAGCAGATGTCCGCTGCGTCCTTAGCAAAGGCTGGTCCGATCGCCTCATGGACCCTACTACCAAAGATGCCTCGAAACCCGAGATTCCTCTCCCGGAAGAGATTTTCCAGATTCAATCTGCGCCGCACGATTGGCTGTTCCGGCAGATGGATGCAGCGGTGCATCATGGAGGCTCTGGTACTACGGGTGCCAGTCTGCGAGCGGGCATTCCTACCATTATCAAGCCCTTTTTCGGAGACCAGTTCTTCTTTGCGCAGAGGGTCGAGGATATGGGTGTGGGGGTTTGGCTCAAGAAGGTCAATACGAGTGTTTTTAGTCGCGCGCTGTGGGAGGTTACGAATTCCCAGAGGATGATTGTCAAGGCTAAGGTTTTGGGACAGAGGATTAGGAAGGTATGTTTTCCACTCATGTCACCCTCTTTCTTAACTTTTGTTACAAGCGGTTTTTTTTACTAACACATGGACAATAGGATAATGGTACACAAACTGCCATTCAAACAATCTACCGCGAACTCGACCGTGCGAAGACGCTCATCAAGAAACAGGCCAAGCAGCCGGGTGATGAGGGCGATGCGACGGATGAAGAGATTGAGGCTGATTGGACACTTGTAGAGGAAGGCGAGGAGATGGATGCTGTTGCTAAGCATATGGCTGAGCAGGCTGCTATGGGAGGTATACAGCAGGATGCATCGCGTACTGGAGGCGGGTCGTTGGTGCTGGGTAGTATGGTTCTCAAGGGTGGGGGTGGGATGAGGAGGACGAGTGAGTCTGTGCAGAGGGAGTAATTGCCATGTTTGAGGGATTGAACGCCCCTTCTTTTCAACGTTTTGGAGTATGAGCATGGAGTGTTAGGCGTTTTTCTTTGTCTAAAGAGAACTTTGACGGACTAGACGTTAATTAGATTGCAAAGATACCACGCGGTTATGAATGCTCATGTACATGTTTAGCATGATGGGTAGATGGATTCTTTAATGTAATCAATGATGATATGGCTTTACTTGCACTCTGCGTGTAGAACTAACATGTGACATGGACGTTGAAGAAACGATACAGCACCCAGTGCTACAGATCCATTTCTTACCTCACCCTCTCTCTCAGCCAAGCGTCTTGGTCTTCTTCTCCTTCTGCCTCTCCATGACATTAAGAACATCATCCGCATTATTCTTATCTCCCTTTCGCTTCTTCCCTCCCCTCTTCCTCTTCTCCTTCTTTCCCTTGCCACCACCCTCGTCATCGTCATCGTCGCCTCCTTCAGCGCCCAGTCCCTTCCACTGACTAAACTTGACCTTCTCGCCCTCCCTCTCCATTTCCTCGGCATCGTCGAACCGCGATGCTCCAAAGCCCATGTCCATGTCTTCCATGTCGCGATCCGACGCGGCAAGCTCCGCAGCACGTTTCTTGAGACGCGCTTCTTTGGAGGCGGGATCGTTGGGGTCGGTAGAGCCAAGATTTTGTAGTAGTGCGGAGTTTTCGTCGAGGTTGCGGACTTTGGCGAGGGCGGCGCGGACGGTGGCGTCGGCGGCGGAGAGGTCAGATGCTTCTTTTGTGATGGAGGTGTTGCGGGCTGTGGATGCGAAGTAGTCTCGTTTTGTGGGTGCAGCGGACGCGCTCTCTTTGGGTTTCGCCGGCGCGTCTTCTTCTGTTTCGGGAGAAGACACCTCGCCTTCTGAGTGTGATTCTGCAGTCGTAGTATCGAGCTTGGGCACAGCAGACGGTTGCGGCTTTGCTTCTCTCTCTTCTTCTTGTTCATCTTCGTCGTCGTCTTCTGAGTCATCAAAGTTGGCGAGCGGATTGTAATTAGATCCTACGCCTTGGAATATATCCTCGTCTTCCGACTCTTCCTTCTTCGGCGCGGGGAGGTTGTGCATGTTGATCGGTTTGCTCGCGTCATCTAGATCATGACGTACTTCAGGCGCTGGCTCCTCAACCTTCTGCTTCTTGACCTTGCGCTTCTCTTTTCCGTCTGGACCCGTGATGATTAACACCTCGCGGCCCTTTTCGTCTGTCTCGATACGGTGTGTCTCGCCTTGTGCATTTATCTTGCGGAAGCCTGGCCCCAAGGTAGGAAACCTTTTCTCGTGCTCAGCCGCGGCGGCAGCAGCAGCTTCTTCTCGTTGTCTCTTGAGGTCCTTCAGGATGTCGTTTCGGCTCCTCTTGATGCCAGCAACAGGCCGTGGCGATGTCATCTTCTCGCCCTTCTTCTCGACCTTCTCGCGTGTAATGGGCCCGACATCCGCTTCTGCCAGCTCATCGAACGCGTCCTCGACTTCTGGTGCCTCTTCTGCCTGCTCGTCTTCCACCTCTTCCTCCTTCTTGTCTTGGCCCCCCAGAACATCCTCCCCCCGCCTTACTCGCTCGAGGAGCTTCCTGTCCAGGCCCTTGACCAAGTGTGTGGTCCCAACATCACCGCCTGTAATCTCTTGTACGAGATTCTCAAACGTCTCACGGTCAATCTCGCCCTTCTTCATAGACTCCTCGAGGTTCTTGACGCGTTTCGCAATCTCGTTGTCTTCCTCATCAGTGTATGCCTTGGTGCGATCGGTGTAGCCTGCGGCGAGCTTCGTCCCTTTTGGTACTATGTTTCTCGTCTTCTTCTGCGGGTTGTTCTTCGCGTTGCGTTCGGCGAGTTGGCGCGCAAAGTCTGACTGGACTGACCCCTTGCCCACCTGGCGGCTGCGCGACTGTTAGCATCAGTCCTCGTGCGCGAGACAATGTGGAGGAAACTTACGGTGTCATTGGTATGCTGGAGTGCTTGCGTGCGCCCAGCACTGCCCTCGGCGTTGCGGCCGCGGGAGATTTGCCCTTGTCGCCATCTTGAGGCTTTGGTGTTTCGACGAGCAGTCGTCGGAATTGCGAGTTGTTCATTGTGCGCCGAGTGGAGAGTTTGGTACAAAGTCGGGATTCGCAAAAGACGTGCCAAGCCTTTCGCAGGCGTCTTCGGGTTCGCGTCTGCACCGCGCGACAAGTGCGCTAGAGCAGTGTGGCTGGATCAAACGCGGGGAACCTTGGACGCAAGCGCACAACACCAGCCTCGTCTGTTACCAGAGGTATTGCGTCACCACGGGCACGATGATGGACGGGTGGACTTGTCTTCCTAGGTAGACTTTGTCACTGTACTGCTTCCGCCCTAGTTGAGAGGCTGTGAGGCTGCACCGCGATCGTCCTCGTGCATGATCAGAAGACTACTGTAGAAGAATACTACCTAGGTATTCAGTTCCCTGTGTGATAGTCACGCCAGATCGCTACCTTGAACTTGTTCTTTCACTCGCCCGGGCTAGGTACCCACCACCCCGCGTCTCCCCCCGCACAAGTACTTGGACCGCTTGATAAATAAATTCATTTCCCTCACTTGCACCCAGTCTTCTGCAACACACTGTGCGATTCTGACGGCAATATGTTCAAGCTTCTCATCGCGGCGGCTCTCGCTGCCGTGGGCGTCTCCCAGTACAGCCCGCCGCCATCTTTCGGCAACATGACCAACTCATCAACATTCATGAACCCGATCGTGCCCACTGGAGCAGACCCGTGAGTCAAGTCCTCCAGGTAACTACACGGGCTTTTGTCTCCTAACACTATCTACCTGGATGTTCCGCCACGAAGACTACTACTACATGACCTACACCAACAACGTCAACATAACTCTCTGGCGCAGCAAATCCCTCACAGATTGGTCAACCGCAGAATCCAAGACCATCTTCCAACCTCCGCCCGACCAGCCCTATTCCACCGACCTCTGGGCCCCAGAAATCCACCAGATCAACAATGCCTGGTGGGTAATCTTCACCGCGGACCCCAACTTCGATTCTCCACCTCCAGAGACGGAAATGTGGTGTGAATACAACTGCCCCGCCGTAAACCACCGCATGTTTGTTGCCATGGGCGAAGCTGATGATCCCTGGACGCCCGAGTACAGCTACCGCGGCCAACTCGAAACTTACGACCAGTTTGCGATTGACGGGACATACTTCCAACACGCCGGCCAATTGTACCACATCTACTCATGCTGGTATCACAAATACGACGGCTGGCCCGCGAACCTCTGCATCACCAAGCTGTCCGATCCATTAACCACCGTGTCACCTTTCTCCGAGCGCCAAATCATTTCCGTGCCGGAGTACGCGTGGGAGAAAACACCCTTTGGACGGGCCTCTAACGATCGGCTCTCTTCAAACGAAGGACCCCAACAGTTGATCAATCCAGTCACCAACCAAACCTTCCTCATCTACAGCGCCGCGCGGTCTGATAACCGTAACTACTGTCTCGGCCAGCTGGAGCTTGTAGGCGACGACCCGATGAACCCTAGTGACTGGCGCAAACATCCTTACCCCGTCTTCTACCAGAACCCTAGTGAAAAGGCGTATGGTGTTGGACACGCGTCGTTTACTACTTCTCCAGACGGCACTGAGGATTGGATTGTGTATCATGGTATGGAGGATCCGACGAATGGGTGGAGCGCGCGTACGATTCGGGCGCAGAAGTTTGGCTGGAAAGAGGACGGGAGTCCGGATTTCCCTAAGCCGGGATACGGGCCGTATGAGGTGCCTAGTGGGCAGTAGATAGATGCGAGATATGGCGAATGGGTCTGCAGGCATAAGAGGCATGCTGTTAGGGTGGGCGCGCGCTTCGATACTGCCCAACCTGCGCGTCTTGCATCTTTTGGGCAGGAGCGACCAAATGCAGTGCTGATCAGGCTCACGGATAATATTTCGCATGATGTCTCTCTTGTATACAGAGCATGGGTACTTGGATATCCTTGGAACCGTAGTGTCATCTTAATGATAATGATTATGATGAACTTTGACGACCATGCGCAGTGCAATATGTCCTCTGCACAGTACGTGAAGAAGGCCTTACTACAATCCATCGTTCCAAACCTTTGTATTTCCTTGATGTGACTTGTTGAGATGCTACGACTTGCGTGCTTTCGCGTTGCTCTTCTGACGCGTCTTCCCACCCATCACCTGTACTTTCCGGAAACGATGCGCAACCCACCACATCGCTTGAATCGACGTGATGGACGCATCTGTAGGAACTTCTGATGTCTCTGTATATATCCCGACGTGATTATGCGATTTTATCGGATCCTATTTCGTGTTGTGGTTGCCATGTCGTGAATATCATCAACAATCTGCCTACACATTTTTCCAAATTAGGACTCAACATGTAACATGTTCGAAAAATTCCAACACCACAACATCATGTCCAATTTCCCTGAAACTTAAGGTACCAAATTTTGTATATTATAAAAGTATGTCATATGAATTTTAGGTCAACCAGACATCGTTGGAGTTGTTTGGAATGTGTAGGTCTGCGGAAGTGTCGTTCCGGTGCAGCCAAAGCACGCATACTTTCTGACCAACAGCACACAACGCGCATTGTTAATCCAACACACGATGGAATCGATATTACATCCACGTTTATTCATTAGACACCAAAGACTACATAATTCCTAGCAATAGAACGTCACGTTGAGCAGCCGTCAGACACAGCAAAGACATGACGTCATGCACCAAACTGCTATCTTTCACAATGCCGTGTTCACTCAAGTGGCAAACAGCGATGAGTCATGTCGTCTCCAGCTAGGCAGCAGCAACAGCGAGCTACAGAAACGACATGCTCATTGTGAAGGAGATGAAAGTCGGTCTGATTGACGTTGGACACTAGCACGACAAAAGGCGGAACAGCACATCATACCAAGTGGAGCCACCACCGCCATGACCACCGCGTTTAGACACAGAAGTCAGACGCGTCGCGACGCAGCAACAGAAGAGACATCACATTGCAAAAGACAGTAGATGAAGTTATTATGGTATCATTCCATGCAAATCAGAACCCTGACTGATATAACCCGTGAACTCCGAGCCTCACTGTACTATACAAAGGCTATGACCATTCCCACCAAGCACCGAAAGGAGCCGACCGTAGACTGAACAAGTCGTAACATGAAAACCGTGATGAAAAGCAAGAAGCGCGCTTAACCACCGAAACCGTACAGAGTACGTCCTTGACGCTTGAGAGCGTAGACAACGTCGAGGGAGGTGACGGTCTTGCGCTTGGCGTGCTCAGTGTATGTGACGGCGTCACGAATGACACCCTCGAGGAAGGTCTTGAGAACACCGCGGGTCTCCTCGTAGATCACTAGAGCTTGTTAGAGGGCGATTGGAGCAGGCAGAGCGAGGAGACATACTGGCTGAGATACGCTTGACACCACCACGACGTGCGAGACGACGGATAGCGGGCTTTGTGATACCCTGGATGTTGTCACGAAGAATCTTGCGGTGGCGCTTGGCACCACCCTTTCCGAGACCCTTTCCACCTTTGCCGCGACCAGTCATATTGATGGTTGTTGGGGGGGTTGTTTTGGGGAGAGGTAAAGTTGGTTGAGTGAGAGAGTTGTAGAGTTGGTGAGGCTGGTAATGTGCTTGGATGATGAGAAAGATGGAGTGGGCGGCGGTCGTGTTTATGAGGCAGCGGGGCGCGTCCCAGAAGCGCGCCGGATCACACGTCCTGCCACCGCCAGATCAAACCGACGCACGGGCGCGCTTTCCAGATCAACGACCGTGCCCCTTCCCAATCGGGACGCGTGCGTAAGCGAGCCAATGGCGAATGCGCGCGCGACTTGTGGACTTTGCGGTTTTGAAGTTCCAGCTGCGCGCGCATTACCTGGTCGCTAGTTAGCAGTTGACTTTGGTGTTCGTAACTGCGCGCAACAAAGATTGATTTTCCAGGCAGCCGCCCGCCCCCCCATTTACCATATAAGCTGCGCCCGCCCACCATCCTCCATCCCTCATCCACTCAACTCCACTCACCATCACAACAACAACCATCTCCATCACCCACCACAACCACATCTCCACCTCCATCTACCAACAACATGGCCCGCACTAAGCAGACCGCCCGCAAGTAAGCTTTACTCTGCAACATTTACACAATCATCAGTCACTAACAATATCTCAGGTCCACTGGTGGCAAAGCCCCCCGCAAGCAGTTAGTCTAACCCTCAGCTTTACCTTTTGCATCGCATCGCAGCATACTAACATCACTTCAAGGCTCGCATCCAAGGCAGCTCGCAAGTCCGCACCGGTTAGTACCATCTCCATTTCATCTTGCGATGCATCGTTCTAACATGCTCCAGTCAACCGGTGGTGTCAAGAAGCCTCACCGCTACAAGCCCGGAACCGTCGCTCTCCGTGAGATCCGTCGCTACCAGAAGTCGACTGAGCTCCTCATCCGCAAGCTGCCCTTCCAGCGTCTTGTTCGTGAGATTGCCCAGGACTTCAAGTCCGATCTCCGCTTCCAGTCCTCCGCCATCGGTGCTCTTCAGGAGTCCGTCGAGGCCTACCTCGTTTCCCTCTTCGAGGACACCAACCTCTGCGCCATCCACGCCAAGCGCGTCACCATCCAGAGCAAGGACATCCAGCTCGCCCGCCGCCTCCGTGGTGAGCGTGGTTAAGCTTCTCAACAACACATCGACACGACATGACAACTTCTTCGGGTCAGTGATTGGATTGGGTATTTAGTGGTTAGGATATCAAGGCGTTTATAGGGTTTCATGGTTCACGGTCTTCAACTCGGTTTATGAGTGCACACGAGCGGTGCTGAGCATGTAGTATATCCAGGTTAATCAGTGATGGTCACTGGCGATATTATCTCGAAATCAACAGATTTCTACTTCACATTGCTTCCACTGATATTAATGTCTTGCTTTGACTCTCATGCTTATCTCACATTCACTTCCTGGTGTTTTGATACGACGAATATTCGCCTACGCCAATGGTCGCGATCCGGTCCTCATCCCGCAGTATGGCGCCCATCGCAGCTAACAACGCGATCATCACGACCGGTCCCTTCATGAGCGACACTAACATCAAAGACTACTATCATGTCCTTTGCATCACGTTGCGCAATCGCGCATCTCCATCTACTCGATCTAATACAAACCACTAATTCACCATGACCTGGCAAACCGAACTCAACTCATGGCTGTCGCCACCCAGCGTGCAAACAGCAGAAACGCCCACTGTCGGCCAAAAGGCACCTTCAACACCAAAGCTAAACATACCCGCAAAAGATGGCAAGCCGACCATTATCAGTTTCCTCAGACACTGCGGCTGTCCATTTGCAGAAAAGACGTTTTTGAATATGAGGGACATGGCAGCGGCGCACAGAGATGTCGACTGGGTGGCTGTGAGCCATAGCGAGCAAGGAGCGACGGAGAGGTGGTTGGCGGCACTACCTGAGCCTGCGAAGAACACCCAACCCAACCTCCATATCATTGTTGATGCTGAACGCGAGGTAACATTGTGGCCATACAAAGAAGCTATACAAGACGTTACACTGACCCGTTGCACTTTAGGCATATGGCGCATGGGGCTTGGGCATATCGTCCTTGTGGCACGTTCTCGGTAGCATACCCGGGACGACGAAACTCAAACAAGAGGGCATCAGCGTCCGAGCTACAGAGAGCGGCAGCAGATGGCAGACGGCGGGTAATTTTGCGATAGACGGAGAGGGGACTGTGAAGTGGGCGAGGGTGGATCAGAGGGCGGATGATATGCCGGATTTCAAGCAGGGCCTTGATGCTGTGCTAGGAGTGTAGTTTGAGCTGGGCGGGTGTTGCTGAGGCTATGCAGGGTTGATGGGAGATGGAGAGATTACGGCGGTGTATGAGAGTACTTGTCTATTATTTATGTTGTTGTATGTGGTGCAGGTGCGGCGTGTTGAATGGATGCTGCTGTTCATATGCTGGGTGCAATGTGCTCGATGAGTTTGGGATGATAACGCAGGCACTCACGCATACTTCTAGTAACAATGAGAAGAGTGGGAAATACCAGATTGCCTTTTTACAGTTTAATTTCCTGTACACACATTTTTCTATTCGCGTTTTGGTGTTTAATCACCCCTCGATTGGCCCGCCCGCCGATGACCTCACGAGTACACGCGAAAACGCGCCAGCACGCTCAGCGCGTCAAAGGGTCGCCACACACGCACGACCAGCACGTCGCGGCTAGATCATGGCATCATGGCGGCACCAACCACAAAGCTGACGTCGAATTACGCGAGCGAATATGGTTCCGATATCGACATCCAGTCTATCGCGACGCTGAGTGACTACGGCTCCGATATCGACATTGACGACGACACCATACTTGCAGACGCTTTCGACACGATAAGAGACGCGGCGCAAACCCAGAAGAGCGCAGTGCTGCCCAGCATCGAGTTTGAAGAGGGCGAACGAGAAGATGAAGAGCAGGATGTGGACGGCTTCGTGCAGGTACACAGACCCACGGTGCTGCGCGTTACCAAGGGCAAGAGGAGTGTCGACGCGGATACACAGAGGGACATACAGAGTTCGCCCATGCGAGAGCGGAAGGCGCTGGAAGTCGAGTATGACGAGAGATCGCGACGGGCGTGGAGTGGTACGTTCGACCAAGAACCTATAGTAGGAGACGTGTCGTATGAACTGACAACTAACAGCGCCTAGTTCCTCACGAACAACCAGCCACTCCACCTTCACCTTTGCAATTCCACCCTAAGCGCAGCGCATCGCAAGCCACTGCCGCCGCTGAAACCGACACCCGTCCGCCCCTCGAGCGTTTCCGAACGAAACCCAAGAAATGTCTCTCGGTGACCGATCTCGTCTCCCCGGCTTGGTGCGAATTACAGTATTTTTACACGCTCAGCAAATTCGGACGGAAGCCACGAACACAGGCTATGAAGACTGGTAGCAAGATCCACCAAACGCTCGAAGACCAAGTCCACACAACGGTGCCGGTGCAGGTTGAAAGCAAAGAAGATGGATTTGGGCTGAGGATGTGGAATGCGATTTCTGGGCTGAGGTGTTTGAGGGAGATGGGATTGACGAGAGAACTGGAAGTCTGGGGTGTGATTGAGGGACAGGTTGTTAACGGGGTTATCGATGAGATCAGTTATGTTTGTCCCGACGCGGAATTTGAGCAAGAGGTTGAGAGGGCGAGGGCAGAGAAGAATGGTGGTATTGTTCCTTTGCCATCGAATCAGCCCAGCATCTCAGACGCCTTTGCCAAAGCCTCTGGGAAACCGTCTTTATCCGACCTGTTGCCCTCCGCACCAGATCCCTCGGATCGCCAAATCTACATTGCAGATGTAAAGACCCGCTCTGCGAAATCTCTCCCAACCGGTGCGAGTCTACGCCCTACATGGATGCAACTCATGCTCTACCGCAAACTCCTCGAATCCCTCTCTTTAAACACCGTGGATGCGGAGACTGTCCTGCAGCGCTACAGTCTCGACCCACTTGCGCTTTTTACGCAAACCTTCCTCGGTGAAATCTCTTCCATAGGTCCGCACGGGAACCCAGAGTCCGAAGCGACAAATTACCCAAATCTACTCTCACTATGGAGTCTGCTCGTCACAGAGATGCAAGAAACGTTTCCAAGGGGAAGCTTGAGCCCGATACTACGGGCGGAGTTTCGGTACGCAAAGACGGGAGATGTGCTTGGTAGTCGGCTTACGGTGTACGAGCCGGACGTCATTGATGCGTATGTTGGGAGTGAGATGGCTTGGTGGAAGGGTGCGAGGGAGGCCAAGGGAGTGGAGATTGAGGAGGCGTTTAAATGTCGGATATGCGATTTTGCTGAGTCGTGTACGTGGAGGAAGACGAAGGTTGAAGAGGCTGTGGAGAAGAGTAGGCTTAGGAGGGAGGGGAAGGCGAAAGCTGTTGTCTGAGGAGGGTGGGTTTGGTAGGGTGGGAGTGTGTGAGAGTGGTATGGTGTTATGATGGCATGGTAATATTGTGATGATGTTCATGACTATTGATATTGCTTGACTGCATAATGAATTCTTATCCTGCAAAAATATGGAGCCTGTCTTTCTGCATGTCTGGGTGAATGGGAGAGGTGGAGAAGAGAATGCCGGAGGTCTTGTTTGGTCGTATTGACTGCCAATGAAAAGAGCATGTCGCATTTAGGTCTGACTGTTACCTAGCTAGTTTTCCGCAATAGCTGTGGGAAAGGTGCTTTGGTGTGTGATGCAGTTGCTATTTGGGGAGTGTTAACCGTCTTCAGATCTCTAGCAAGAGGTGATGTAACATAGTTCGGCCAACTATATCTCAGTAGACGTCTCGTTGCTTATACTATACGTGACTGAAAAAGTTCAATGCAATCACAAAACCTTGACCTTACATTCCATCGGCGATCCCTAACTTTTCCGCTACACTAATAAAACCCTTACTGCCCTCTTCCAATTCAACCCACAGATCCACCCAGCCCGCCTCCCTCGCCTCCTTGATCTCCTCTTCAGTCCAATCCTCCTCCCCAGCCCTCTCCACGTAAACAGTCTTCAGACCGTTTCCATGTGCAGCTTCGAGATCAGGTAGATGTGCAGCCACCATAACACACTCCTTAGGTTCCAAACCAAGTTTCTCCGCCGCCCCAAGATATACTTCCGGCGCAGGTTTGTAAGTGCCGAACATCTCAGCCGAGAAGACGTGTATAAAAGGTATCCCACTGTACGCACGGAGATCTGTAAGAAGACTCACATTCCCGTTCGAAAGCATGGCTGTTGCAAATCGTTTGTTGAGTAACTCAACGCCGGCGGCAGAATCTTCCCAAGGGACTAATTGGTGCCAGACTAAGCTCAGAGCAAGAATCTCCTCGTCATTCCACAGGCCATCAAGCTCCCATTCTGTGATAAGCTGCTTCAATGCGCTCAAGTGGTGGTCGTCGACTGATTTCCACGGGATTGAGGGATCAGCGGCTAGTTGTTTTGTGAATATCTTGTAACTGTTTCGCCATTGCTGGGCAAACTTCCCCCAGTGTTCATCTGTCATTTCCGATGCTCGCAATCGTAATTTAGATGCCAATGATGCGGTTGCTGAGTTGAGCGACTTGTGGGCTGCGAGGGAAAGCGCACTAGTGACGGTCGCGCGCCAGTTGACGCAGGTACCGAATACATCGAAGAATAGTGCGCGTGGTGGAGGGGACAGAGACATGGTTATGCTGGTAAACTGCTGTGTAGAGGCTAGAGGTAGTAGTCTTTGCGGGTTGAAGTCTACTTGGCTGATGGTTGAAGGCATGGGGTTATGTACGTCATCGGGAATATGCACGGAGTAAGAATGTCCGTAATACACCTCACAGAGTCGAGGGCGTCTGGAACCCACTCACAGTTGTTCATGTCGAATAGGACGAAGTTAGGCTGCATCTATCTAGCTACGCGATCTGAGTAGCTTCAGAGTCGAGTCTTCACGAAGCAGTCGTGCGTCAAAGCTTTATGTCTAGCCTCCCAGCCACCTCCGCATCTCGACATTCTTCACACCAAGCTCTCTACCACAACCTGCACGAATGTCATATGTGAAGGAACCTACGACAAGGAGGAATTAGAACTCACTTGACATTGTGCTCAAGTCGATGCGCTTACAATCAGCATCCGACCAGGCGGGATGCCGTCCCCAGCCGTGCCCAGGTGTTAGCACCCCGCTAGCGCTTTGCGGGGAGCCCCAGGGCTTGGGGTAGTCCGAGCCATCTCCTTCCGAGGTCAGCATCGTCGGTCCCCTTGGACCGATCGGCAAAGTCTAAAAGATCAATGCTCATAACGCCCATATGCTCTTCGCGAAGAGCAACTCGTGCTTTACTGCATTCACCATCTCCAAGTTCAGCGTACCGCCATTTGCTTCTCTTTCAGCTTGTCGCCCACACGTCTGTGCTAGCTTCGCCATTGCATCTAGCAGACTGCTTTCATCACATAGTCAATTAACATCATCCATCCGGATTGACAAGATGCCTCAAGAGCACATCCAGGATCAGGTCTACGCGGCCTCCATCAACAACCCCGAGCAGTTCTGGCAGCGCCAAGCGAACAACCTATACTGGCATAAGAAGCCGTCTACAGCGTTCCAAAGGAGCACCAAGCACTTGAAGAAGAGCAATGTGTCACACGAGCATTGGGAGTGGTTTGCCGATGGTGAGATTTCAACAACATACAACTGTGTGGACCGCCATGTGGCAAACGGTAATGGCGAGAGGGTCGCGATTTGCTGGGATAGTCCAGTGACCGGCCAGAAAGAGCAGTACACATACAAGCAGCTTTTGCAAGAAGTAGAGACACTGGCAGGTGTGTTGAGGGAAGAGGGAGTCAAGAAAGGCGATGTCGTGTTGATTTACATGCCGATGATACCAGCTGCGCTGTTTGCTATGCTCGCTATCGCCAGGCTTGGAGCTATACATGCGGTTGTTTTTGGTGGCTTCTCGCCGGCGGCACTGGCCCAGCGGATCGAGGCAAGTCGCCCTGTCGTGATCATGACGGCTTCTTGCGGGATTGAAGGAGCCAAGAAGCCCACCGAGTACAAATCGATGATTGAGGGCGCCGTTCACAAGAGTAGCTTCAAGCCATTCAAGACGATTGTCTGGCAGAGAGAGCAGCTAAGATGGGATCCGATAGTCAAAGAGGAGGGTCAAAGAAACTGGCAACGACTGGTCAAGAGCGCGAAGAATAGAGGTTTGAAGGCAGATGCTGTGCCTGTTAAAAGTGGCGACGGACTGTACATCATTTACACATCGGGTACTACCGGGCTACCAAAGGGCGTTGTTCGCTCAGCAGGGGGTCACGCTGTTGGACTGAACTTCTCCATCAAGTACCTGTTCGGAGTCCATGGTCCGGGCGACGTCATGTTCACGGCAAGCGATATCGGTTGGGTTGTTGGGCACTCTTACATTGTCTACGCTCCACTGCTAGCTGGTGCTACTACTGTTCTGTTCGAGGGCAAACCCGTCGGAACCCCCGATGCGAGCACCTTCTGGCGCGTCATCGAAGATTATAAAGTGACGACCATGTTCACCGCTCCCACAGCTCTACGTGCAATTCGCAGGGACGACGGCGACAATGAGTTTTTCGAGGAAAGAGGGCAAAAGGGTGCCCTGAAGACACTCAGGGCGCTTTTCCTGGCAGGAGAGAGGAGCGAACCGAGCATCATCCAGATGTACCAGAAACTGCTAACAAAGCACTGCGCTCCAGGTGCCATGGTTGTAGACAACTGGTGGTCTTCCGAATCTGGCTCACCTATCTCGGGCATCGCACTCAGCGCCTCTGCTGGGCTGAAGTTTTCTTCGCAGGAAAGACCTGCGCCGCTTCCGATTAAGCCTGGCTCAGCTGGAAAGGCTATGCCCGGGTTTGATGTACGTATTGTGGATGATTCAGGCAAAGAGGTGAAGAGAGGCGAGATGGGCAATATCGTCATGGCGATACCACTTGCTCCAACGGCTTTTACTACGCTCTGGGAAGACGAAGAACGTTTCTACAAGGGCTATATGAAGAGGTTCGATGGGAAGTGGATTGACACTGGCGATGCTGGTATGATTGACGAGGAGGGATACATTTCAATCATGGCGAGGGCAGACGATGTGATCAATGTTGCGGCACACCGCTTCAGTACAGGTATGTCACGTCTTACTTGATGGGCTGTAAGGATAAACTGACAAGTACTAGGCGCCATCGAGCAAGCTATCACGACCCACACCTCCATCGCCGAAGCAGCTGTAGTCGGCATCCCTGACGCTCTGAAAGGTCACCTTCCCTTCGCCTTCATCACACTATCCGCTCATGCACATTCCGAGTCCGCTGTGGCAGACGACAAACTCTTCGCCGAAGTTCAACGTCTAGTACGTGAGCAGATTGGTGCAATTGCAAGTCTCGGCGGCATCATACAAGGCAAAGGGATGATACCCAAGACTAGGAGCGGCAAGACGCTGAGGAGAGTGCTGCGTGAGCTGTTGGAGAATGCTACGCATGGAGAGTTTGACAAGGAAGTCAGTGTTCCGAGCACGATTGAAGACAGACAGGCTGTTGAGGTTGCGAGGGAGAAGGTTAGGGAGTATTTCAAGGTCAAGGGGAAGGATCTGCACAAGGCCACGGAGGCGAGGGCGAAGTTGTAGGAGATGGGATGTGGACTGTTAGCAAGGAATTGCTGTTGTAGAGGTAATGTGACCTGTGTTAGCGATTAGTTGTTATATCGTCTTTGAATGTACACGTTGAGCTAACATCTATCATTGTTGCGCTTTCACTCTTTTATAAGTCTTCTAGGGATCCCAGCCATGTAGGCTACACTATCTCTCACCAGCTGGGCGCATATCAACATTCTCCCCAATATTGCTACGAGCCGTTTGCATAGCAGCCACTTCGTATTTGCTGGCTCGTTACCGGATGAATGAGTGGAGTCGGAACCGGCGAGCAGCGGCCCGTCCCCCGAACATCGTGTTACACGAAGCGGCGGTTCAACGCTCGACGCCAAACGCCCCAGCGGTTAATCTCGCATCATGGCCAAACCAGCAAACAACTGGCGACGTCCAGCTGAAAAGCAGAGGAAAAGGATACCGTTTCCGTCACGGCAGCGTGTTGTTGGCCCCACCCCCAAACACGTGCTTGCATGGTGCTGCGGGCAATGGCCCAACCGCCGGACTGCGCTCCTGCAACTTCCCGGGGCTGACATACATGGAGCTCTGTGCTGAGCTGCGACCTTCCCGCCCATCTGGAAGCTTGACACTTCATCAGCGCATATATCAAGGCATTCCCTGAGTCGCATCGTCTGGTCGGCGAGTGAGCCTCGTCACCGTCGCGTTGGCTCGTCCTGTCATCTCAGGTTGTGCCTCACGCCGAGTCTACAAGCTTTCTTACCGGCAGAATACTTGTTGCATGGTCACCAATCGATACGGTAACGGCAGCAAGGCGTCTTACAC